AGCTGGCTCAGAAATATGAAATAACTTTTTACACCTGTGGATATGCTTAGATATTCTAGCCTGAAATCAGCTATTCCTAATGTTTGGAAAGATACAGTAAAGAAGGATCAGCTTGATAACTCGGTGGAAGAAACCATCGATTCACATACTTTTTCTTGTAAGCAGTTGTATGACATGTATTTAAAACAAACATTTGAACCCCCAACGGGCCAAGACGAATTGTTAAAAACTTTTGAACATGAAAACAACTTAAAAAATGTGTATTTACTACCTTTCATATGTACTAAGAATGTTAAATTACAGTATTTTCAGTATAAGATAATACACAGATTTTTGCCGACAAATTGTTATTTAAAGAAAATTAGAGTTAAAGACTCGGACAAATGTCCTTTTTGCGATAGTAAACAAGATCTAAGTCACTTATTTGTGGATTGTAGTTATGTTACTAAATTTTGGAATGACTTTCGCCTATGGTGGCTCGACACTTGTTCTGAACATATCGCACTAACAAGAATTGTTATATTGTATGGTATAATCGACAAGATGGAAAAAAATAGATACCTGAACCACTGTTTACTTTCTGCAAAATATGACATCTATAAGAGTACAGCATTGAATAAGAAACCCCATTTTTGTAATGCATTATTTTCATGATTTTCGAGACAAACATTCTTCGTAAAATGTTACAGCACAAATATGTATTCTGTGTATTAGTATATTTGTATTAAGGGGCTTGCCACACTGTTTCCTATTTACTGTATGTACATCTCTTAGTTAAACGAATAAAAAAAAAAAAAAAAAAAAAAAAAAAAAAAATTATGTTTTAATCTATTCACTACCAAAAGACGAGTTGTTAGATTACAGAAATACATGTAGCATTGTGTGTTGTTTTCTATAGAGTTCAGCCATGTCGGAACCAGAGCCAGGGACATACAAAGTGGCCACGGTGAAGACAGCACCATTTGATGCCCGTTTCCCCAACACGAACCAGGCGAGGTACTGCTGGCAGGGTTACATTGACTTCCAACGCTGCACCAACATACGCGGCGAGGACTACGAACCCTGTCAGTACTTCAGGCATGTCTACCGCTCAATGTGCCCCAAATCTTGGGTAGGTCAATACATTCATTAGATGTATGTATTCCTATAGTTACATAGGCCTAGGGAAAAAGTGTTGTGTTTCCTGTTTCAGTCATGAAAAAAATAGGGTCGGTACAATGGCAGCAGGGCTCTGGCCAGCAAAATTTTTTCCGCAAATTACTGGGTCAATTTGCAGGGATCCACACAAAAAAGGCTATTGTCTGCGTTTTTTTCTAGGGTCGGTCGGGAAACAGGAAACACAACATTTTTTTGCTAGGCTGTACAGTCATTTTGCAGTAGTATCTGCTAGTTGCGACTTAGCCAGAATCAATTTCTACTCAAGATGTAATTAATGAAATCCTCTTTATGTGGTCTTCATCTTCTTAATCGAAGACATCGAATGCCATCTAGTCTTACATGAACCATAAACATGACACTGTATGCATGATCCATGATAAGACAATCACATACAAAATGGATACTAGAGCTAGGGCCATTGGAAAAATTGTGTACTAGATTTAGAACATTGTAGTTCATGGGTTTTTTTTTATTTTTTTTATATAATGTGCTGTAGTGAGCAATACCCACTGATTGTACAATGGCTCAATCAGTGGGCAATCAGTGGCTCACAGCTGCCAAGTTCTCAATTGCAATGAAGGAGGTGTCGATGTACTCTAACTTTAAAGGACTGCAGTCCGTTGTTGTAGATGTTACCCACAATGGTGTCTGGGAGTTGGTTCCAGATCTGAACACCAGTGTGGATGATCTTTGCATTCATCCTTTTTGGATGGGGACAAAAAATCCCTCCTTACAACTGTGAGAACATGTATTACCAATATCTCATGTCTAACTTTTATCTGCAGATAGAGCTGTGGGATGAGCAGCGTGAGGTTGGCACATTCGCTGGGAAGGTCTGATGCTGCCTCATCAGAGGACCATCCTGAAACCATCCTTCCTGCTGTGTTCTTTAATGTCATACTAGAGGATATTGTTGTTTAAGTGCCCCTTAATGTCTACTCAAACCAGAGGAACTAAACCATATTGTACACTGATCCAGACAACACACCTGAGTGAAATGTTTTAAATAGAAATATGCAGCCTTGACTATGGAAGGATGAGGATCACTATTGAGTAAAGTGCACACCTCTGTTCAATGGCAGCAACAGAAATGTCAGAAAGGTTGTAGTGTCTACTCGATGTTAGCACTGTGATATCCCAACCGTTTGCACAAAGTACAACAAATGTGACCAATAGTTACCTTTAATTCCAATGTCAAGCCAAACTGGATGATAACTCTCAATTTGGTGTGTCATTGCCAATACAACCAGTAGAGTGGCATATCAACTTATTAATAAGTGTATGGATATGAATAAAGAGTTGGAAAATCCAGCCAAACTGTGGTCTGTTTTTCATTTTTGATAATTTACATGTACATCTGAAGTCAAGTGAGGTACTAGTAATTTACCCTTTCCTGTGTTTCGAAGAATCATGATACTCAATTTTGTTCATTGCACTGGTAGAGACAAAGACATGTAACAAGTTACAGCTTAGCCACTGTAAAATACACAAACTTAATATTTTTTGCTGTGTTTATTGCAGTTCCTCCTAGCTAGGTACATTCATGGAATGCAAGCATCAAGTGATGACAATATTGAATGGTGTTATTAACAAGAATTGTATACAAGGCACATAGATGTAAGAATCGATTACTAGAGTAACTTATTGCAGAAAGATTACATTTCAAACAATGGTATTTTTATGAAAAGCTGCCAACGGTCTGAAACATCATACACACATGAAGAAAACCTGTCTAAACAAAAACAACATCAACTACATACTAGTATCATGCTTTTATGTACTGTAGCGTATGGTGGACAAATAAAGGAGCATTCGAATATTGAGTTGCCAATGCAGAGTTGAGCATACATGTATCTAGAATACCGGTAATATTGGTTGATGGTGAAGGAGTACAAACCCTATTCTATACAAAGATACTTTGGCAGTGACAACCAATATGATAAACTATATGTTTACACATTTGTAACACATTTGTAACACAAGAAAATTATAATGTACGTAGTGGGCAGAGGCCATTATATGAGCCTAAAGACTATCAATGAGACCTAAAGTCTATTCATTCCAACCGTAACACTTTCAATAACAGTATATACATTTTAGGTACATATCTCATAATGGCTATCCTATGGTTCACTTTAGCCAGAAACAAGTCCTTGTCAGGAAAAAGGCATCTGTTACTATCTTCTATGGACACCTCTTCCAGGTCCTGTTACAGAGGTGGTCGGACGTAAAGCTGGAGGAAAAACATGGAACAAGTTTAGAGATCAAGTTGTAACAGTACCAGTTTCAAGGCTAGTAATGACACAGGCCTATTTGAATCAAAGGGTGACACAAAGATGGTTTGTAACTCGGTAAAAGTATGTCGACATATATTGAGGTAGTTCTTCACTGGGTCATTCAATGATAGCAAATTTTAATTCAAATAACAAGCTAGCATACATTTGTAACTGAAAAAACCTGCCTCAAAAAGAGCTTTTTGTCATTAATTGTCATTTCTTGAGTAGATGGGGCAATACCTTCTTAAGGCAACTGTAATTAGGATTGTTGGTGAGGCATGCTCACTTACCCTGGTCCACTGAAGGTTTTTTGGGCTGCTTGTGATGTGCCATCACTCTGTTGTCATCTGTCATCCTGACATCCTGATCATCTGGGACCTGGTTACTGTGGGGCAGATGCCATAACTGTGTTAATTTTATCTCTCTGCAACATTTACACTAAAATATTAACATCTACCTCTGATTGTCAAGTCTTTCAATAGCATTTTAAAAGCAGGTTTGTTTGGCAACTCTAGTTTTATACTGCCAGTGGCCAATGGAAACATCACTTTGGTACACCTTGTGTTCCCATGCATGTCATGTGACCATATAGCATCTCCTTATTTGGCAAAGTCTAGATGATGCAATATCACCAGTCCTTATTCCTCTAAATGCATTCTAGAAGCTGAAAAAAAAAGAAGAAAATCAAGGCACAAATCCTGTTCTCACCCATGGTGTAAGAAGAAAGGATGACAAATAAGAGGATGAGGAACTGGCATGACTGGATAGAAGGTTGGGTGGAAGTACCTGGGTGTGTTAAAGGGTGGTGTGGAAGAAAGAGAAACACACATATTCACTTCATGTGGAGTGATAACTTAAAGACTGATTTTCAGGAAAGAAATCTTGAGAGAGAAGAAACATCAAAAGAAACTTTATTGTGTCTTGCGATCATTAATAGGTGATTATTGAAAGATTTACAACCAAATCATTACATAAAGACTGTAGCAGGGTTACATGTACAATACATGAAGAGAGAAATATGTAAGAAATACATGCAAGAAACATAATGCATGAAGCTTCTACTCAATCAAAAGAGGTCACAAGCATACCTGATGACAGTATGTCTCTCTCTCTGAGCGATGGCGTCATCATCAGTGAAGAGGATAGTGTGGTAAGGTGTGGGGGCGTCACACGTGGGCAGGATACCGCGTGTGGTTGGCACCATGCCCAGGATACCATTGTACACAACAAGGTCATCTACTAACACCTGGGACAGACATACAATGTAAATGTCAGACTTAGCACTCATACAGCACTTTCTGTTCAAAAAAATTTCCCCAGCAATATTACATAGTGAATACCTTATTGCATTTACCATGCAAAAACAAAGCAACTAGAGCAACATGGGACCTCAACATCATACTATGCTTTCTACAGTGTACATCACAAGTCTTTCCATTCTACTGAACTGAAAGATTCCCAAAAGCATTTAAAATTTCACCTACCCCAAACTCCTTTACACCCCTGTTTGGAGTCTTGCTGTAGTTCCACAGTTTAATCATGGAGACTGTCTGTGGCTGGTCAAATATCACATACACTCTGTTGATCTGTTGGGACAAGTATAAAATTCTGTCAAAGAAGTACATGTATGTATACTAACTTGAAGACTCCATAGTGAAATCCTTGGTAAATTGATGAAAAGTCAGGACCATGGACATTTGCTAACAGGGATTTGAACCTTTGCTTGTATTCTTAATGCCACATTGGCCAGTTCAAACAACTTACAGTTAATGGGAAAAAGATAGAGCTTAGCCCAACAGAAAGAATAATATACAAGACTTAGTGTGCCTTTTTGTGTTTGTGAAACACAGTCTAATACATGCATGTTAAGAAGAGACAAAATCGACAGTACAACAGTCATATGTTTACAGTACATTCTCCATCCTAGAGACTTGATTGACACATGCAGACCATTTTTTATCTTATCTCATTGCATCTTCTCCTGACTCACCACCCCAGGCAGGACAGGTGCTATCCACATGTGTTTCCCGTCGTTGGTGCAGTTGTTCCCATCTATCAGCTTGTCAGGTGTCCTGACATCCCCCTCCACACCTGGCAACACGTTCACACTCTCAGGGTAGGCAGCAATGTCTGTACAGCTGGTCAAGGAACTGTCCAGCTAAACAAGTATTTTTCATATACATGTATATCAAAATGTTCTTTTGTATACACCAGAAAGCTTCTTACCGGTATGTCACATCAAATATCATAGTACATTGTACCTTTTTTCATGTTATGACACATACAGCTGGACTCTGTTAACATTTAACTTTCAAAATTTTCTCACTGATCTTAAATCTTATTTATACATTACAGTGTTTGGTTGCTTGTTAGGGTCTTTGTTTATTCAATAGACATGAAAACTAAAAACAACCTGCCTGCCACTTTTAATTGAGGTCAGGAGAAAGGTAAGGGTCAGATAAAATATGACAAAGATGCAGATTAGTACATGATTGAAGTCCTAAGAAATCCATAAACATAATACACCTTTGTTTTGTTTAACCAGTGATAAGTGATGCAGTAGACACATGCTCCATGTAATTAAGGATACTGTTCTGAGTCAGCTGGATCTGGTCCCCGTTCTCATTGTAGAAGTCCAGACCGTTCAGGCCAATGTAGTAGGGGTCACCCCAGGTGGACAGCAGCTGCAGCTCAAACACAACTGGGCAGGGTTAAGGACATAACATATGGATTTTCTATTGTCATAATTTTCTATATGTACTGTACAACCCATCTACACAGAAGTCATGTATGCAGGCAACACTTAAAAAATCATTGCTGAGTGATGATGACGTCTAGTGCTTACAATGCCACAAAATTTTTTCACATCAATCTTTTAACAAAACTTTTGCAAGTTAACTTAGTTAAGTTCAATGCAAACCACAGACTGTTCATGGAATGTGAAATTAGAATACTAAGTCTTGATTCAGCAGACTAGCCTTCAAAGGTTGATTGATATGAACTAGAAGAAACACAAGTGTAAGATGATGGTTTGAGATGGTTGAAGAGGATACATCCACATGGCATGATGAGTGGTTCATAGTCCTGACTGGCCTCCTCATTCATCAGTTTACTTTGTCTGCACACAACAAGAACAATACAAAATGTTATCATCATATACATATTCCACTCATAAGGCAACAGTTAGTTCATCTTGTAAACACTGTAGATCTATGTACTAAAGAAACGCACAGCAAAGTGACAGATTCTGTTCTCAGTAATTGAAAGACAAAAAAGATATCCAAAACTGAGTAAGTCAAAGCTGGCTCAAATGTATTTGCAATGGTTAATATCAGGCTATAAGATGTAAAGCATAAAAACAACTTCAGCAGCTCTGCTTGCTTGTGACGCAATTCAGGGAAGGAAAGGCAGTGGTGAAAAACATATGCCAACTTGTACAAAGCACTCAATGAGCAAATTGGTTAGTCATTTTAGTCGTGCCAACTCCTGTTCACCTGGTTTTATCTAACCACCTGGCAGGGCGTCCACCATAGTCACTGTGAATTGATAAGGATGATAATGTGTGTGAACCTAATTTTTTGCAATGCCAGTACTGATCTTGAAGAAAATGTCACTAAAACTCAATTTGCTTTGTTTAGAAATAAAGAATATTCCCAACTTTCGACAATGAACTACGTGTCAAAATTCAAAACTTTGCATCGGATACTTATCAATGAAATAAGTGTTACAGTGTAAATGCATGAGATTTTAATGAGTAGACTGAACATCATATAGAGTCTTTTTATATGACTTGCAAATTGCAATACATTTTGTTGTTGTTGTGGTAACAAGCACAACTCATCCACAGTCTCCTCTTGTACCTGACAGAAAGCTCCAGTGGTTGTGATGAGAGTTTGACAGGCTGTGAGGATGATGCAGGGTTGTGGGAGAAACTGATGTCCTGTGCATAGTCATAGTTACAGTTCCCCGGAGCCTTCCTGATGAGATAACCCTGAGCTGGGGAGATGACCTGGCCATCCAACAACAGGTGGACTACTTTTGCCTGCACAGATTGGAAGATTTAAAAGAAAAGTGGTCATATATATGTAAAACTCATCAGAGCAACACGAGTGGACAGTTAGCCTACAAATGTACATTTGAGTGTTCTAATTCAATTTGATATTTCAATCTCTTTTAACAAACTGTCACTTCTTATCTCACCCTTAAGAGCTTTTCAGCATACTACTAGGTTCTCTTCTAGCCCACATAATTGCGCTTTCTCCAACTCTAAGTGCTATAGCAATAGTTTCTTTCCATGAATTGCAAAATTATCATATAATGGAACTCTCTCCCTGGCAGTGTTTTCCTCCAAAATACAACCACATTCACTGCCACCTCCTGGCATAGTCACCAACTTAGTTCAGTGCCTAGACTTTTGGCCTTACATTGAGCAAAGATTTACATGGAATTGCCCTTTTGCAGATAACAAGAAAACAATGATGCCGTACCCCTCTGTAAGTGTCCTCACGACTCTTGTTGTAGTTCCAAAACCTCAGTCCTGTCAGGTACTGTGGCTGGCCAAGATCAACAGTCAGGACATGGCCATCCCCCTCGTTAAATGGTATCAACCACATGTGCTCATCTCCTGTGGTCACATTGCAGCCATCCACCAACCTAATAATGGTAAAAATAACAACTTACTAAAGCTTAAAAGGCAAAAGCAAACACCAATATCACAAAATTCTAAACAATACAATGAAAGATCTTGAACCTTGTATGATATAAAAAAGTTTGAAGTTTAGAATGACAAAGATTGACATACTTATCCAGTGTCCGGGTGTCGTCTTCATAACCTGGAAGGACTGTGATGTCCCGAGGGGTGGCACTGACCATCCTGGGACTGAGAGTCAGAGGATCTCCTTCCCAGCCCAGCACCTCCAGTCCGGTCAGTCCCAGGTAGTGGGGGTCTCCCCAGGTCCCAGTGAAGTTCAACTGTAACACTAGTGAAGTGTCTTGTGTTAGTCTCCTGTAATGTTTTTGAATGCACAAAAAAGATAGCAACATTTTTTCCTGGTGAATGGCTGAATCAGAAATTGACTGGTACAATGTACTTACATTGAATTGATTGAAGGTGGTAAAAAGATCATTACAAATATCTAAAAAAATTGAGGAAAATATTGTGGAAAATAATTATGATAAGTTTTATGGCTGTTTTATGGTACCTTGTCCCTGGTAGGCATCAGGCCGTGGCTCCCCCATGGCTCCTTGTGTCTGTAATTGTTGTTGTTGTCGCTGTGTAGTCATCTGTCTCTCCGCAGTTTTAGCTGTTGTGAAGGGTCGGTCTCCTGTGACAGTCTGAAACCGCGACAAACATGTACATTGATTAGCTTAAATTCCTTAAATTGCTACTGTATGTACATGTAGATGTTGAAGGATAGTAACAACCCATTACAAGTAGTAGAAAACTTGATAAAATAGTATCTATATTTGAACTAGCCTTCTCACTGGTGTCACAGAGATGTGCTTAATTTCCATACAGAAGTAAGGGAGGGGTGTACCTTATCTGCTTAAATAACAAAGGATTTTTAAGGAAGGATTTTTATAGACTGAGTGGTTAAACCTATGTAATGCAGCATTTGGATTTGCTATACTTACTGAAGCTTATGTTATGTTGCATAAGAGGAAAGAATAGGTACATGCATTTCAGTTTCTATATTAAGACATTTGACCTGTTTCCCCTTGTCTGCAGTTCTTGGTCTCTCAAACGGTGCCTCCTCCTCTTCATCAAAGTCCTCCACATCCCCCTCATACGTCTCATCATACTGGGCCATGGCCTCCAGGATCTCCTCATCCATGGTGAATAGGATGGTCTGTAGTAATGATACGTCAGTTAAACTGTGTTTCTACGGGGGGCATTTTTTTTTACGTGCTGTCACAGATTTTTATCTTAAGCTGAGACCTCACTATAGGACAAATGATCATAGCGACTATCCAAAATGCCATGTCTGTCTATCCTTGATTTTATGTCCTTGCATTGTGATCCTCTATCTGTAACCACATACAGTAACTGTTAAAGCACTTCCATGAAATAAAGAAACCATCTTACATCACCAAATGAGTCCAGGTCACCCTGCAGCAGACCACTAGCTCTGTAAAATAAATTGATAGCAAAAATGGCATAAAAATTACATTTCAAAGGAAAACAATACAAAGCAACCATTGGCTAAAAGACTATTACAACCTTTAACAATGTTGGGGGCAACAAATCAATTGACTGACCATTCAAAGCCTAGTTCATTAGTTCATTCAGCTAATGGTAATGACTACAGTGTAAACAATGTATGCCTAAATAGTCCTGTCCTTGGTGCTGAAATGGCATTCACATGTATATATGAGAATAATGTGCTACATGAAAGGCTACTTACTTTGCTATTTCACCCTTGAAAATCAAACTTTTATCCAATGTCATCTCAATGTCCCTTGCTCCTCTGAATGAATGTATTCTGGATTTATTGTAGTTCTGAAATCACAAAAGAAAGTCTAATAAGCCAAAAAATGTCATATATCATTAAATGTTCATTCAAAGCATAGCTGTGTTATTTGTCTACAGGCAGATATTCCTAGTCCAAAATTAATGCAACATCTGATAGGCAGAATGATAAACAAAAATATCTATCTTCAAGTAATCTAATGCTAACGTAAATGATTAAGTAAACGGTAGCATATGCTTTGTTCCGTATGTCCAAGACACAAACATACCCATATTCTAATCATGGCGACTTTGCATGTCTGTTGGAAGGTGAGACAGATGTAGTGGTTGGCGTTAGGCGTGTAGGGAGCCAGCCACATGTGGATGTCGTCCCGCGTACGGTTCACACCGTCAGTCAGGTTAGTGACCACACGAGGGTCCGAGTTGTAATCAGGGAGGATGTTGATATCAGCTGGGTCGGCTGTAATCTGTTTTGACGATAAGCGAAAAACACATAATTACATGGAATTTTTAACCTTCAGCATGCCATGGTAGCTGTTTGGCACCAAATTTGTTATTGGGTTCAGGCAGCAGGGAGAGGGTTAGTCAGTAGGGAGAGGTTTGAAATATAAATTGCAATCATGTACAAATATAATGTAAGACTAATGCTATTACTATGGACTTCAGCACAACCAAAGCAACAATAAGCAAGACATGTTACCAAAAGTCTTGTAATGCTGAAAACTACATGTACTAGCATTTTGCTATGATTATACAGACTTACAATGTACTCTCAGATGCATATTCTACTTACATGTATACAATATTATGCATCCGACAGTGACAATTAAAGACAGTGGGAATATAAGTTTCCAAACCTTGGCAATCTTTACAGGTTGTCCTGTGCTGCTGAAGACTTCAATGCCATTCAGCCCTACATAGTGTCTGTCTCCCCATGTTGTCCTGATGTTGATCTTCAGCTCTCTACCCGCAGGCAGTACTGGGATCTCAAAGATTTCTCTGCAAACAGTTGAATGTAGAATCATTAGTTCATGATGATGATACTAAGTTATCCTCGGAACAATGAAAAAGGTTATCTTGTTAAGGTTAAGGCTCTCCTCTTAAAAGTCTTATCAAATCTTAAATCCTTCAGAAGTGAAGTAAATTCCAAATCATTAAAGATTTTACATGATATTGCACCAAAAATTGCAAAAAAGTCTATAATAATATTATTATAAAAGCTACATATTACAGCTTACTCCATAGTATCCTGTACTTCCTCCTCTTCCTTTGTGGGTTCTGCTGTTTTGCTTCTCTTATTTACAGACAGGTACTCATCAAGGACATCACCTGGTAAAAAACACAGAAAGAATGACTTCACTGTTCAAAATTACAGCTGCAAGCTGGGTGACAGCTACAAATGAACTCGATAAGCAAGAGATAAACATGATATTGGGAAGAATACTTTTGCTGAAAGCTGTCTAGACTCCTCAGTAGCTCAGCTATATATGGGACTAATGGCTTGAAATTAATGAAACATTATTTACAGTCATTGAAGTCATTCCTACAAAAGCATAAGCTACCATCCTTCACCTTCCTGGTCCATATTAGTGATGCGCCCCCGGTGAGACTGGTTGAAGAGAGACAGAGAGTTCCATGACTCCTGTAACTTGTCAGGGCGAGGCTGCTGAAGACGCTGCTTTGGGATTCCCGCCACCTTCTCTGTCTCCGGATCACTGGACTCAAAGGACAGCGTGCGACTCCGCCATCTTGCTTCCTCCCCTTCGTCAGCAACAACATCTGTAGAGCAGGAAATGACACGTGAATTAAACAAGCACTGTAGTACACAGTTTCTTAAATTTGATTATAATGTTTAAACAAGATTATGTGCTATGTGCTGGTTAAAAAACAGTTCAAGTAGATAATGCACAAAAGAATGCAATAAGAAATAAAAGCTGCCTTGTGGCATGGTCTAATGTTTTCCTTCTGTAGCTGCTATCGTTTTTTATCATTTCTCAGTTGATGTTACTGAAAATTAATGATTATATTCTATTTATTGAGCAATCCTCCTCATTATTGGTAATAGTAAATATGTCAGACAAGGAGTACATAAATATATACTCTTCACTTTCCTTGAACTACAGTGGTGTGCTCACCGGGTGTGCGTGTAGGTCTGTCCTTAGATGATCTGTTCTCTGGTGTGTGGCCCCTCCTCCGCCCACTCCTGGGTCTCCTGTTACTGTCTGGTCTCTCCATCTTATCCAGTACAGTAGGCAACTCTGGAATACTGTACAACACAAACTACTAACAACCTACACATGTAACTCTGCAGCACGGTTCCAAGATAAACTATCACACAACAGGCCATGTGGAAAAAAAATATCAGAGCAACAACGTCATTACTGTAACAGCGCTATAAATCATCCAACAACCAGAGCAATAAATTATACAGACAGTCATTTGGCATCAATGCACACTATCTACCAACTCATCATATACATGTAGGCAACATAAAGCACAGAAAATTCAAATGACAAATCATAAAAATAATTTTTATTATGTTGCCTTCAGTGATAGGTCAAGGACATACACACTGAGGATGTTGTATAGTGTATACAATCAATTTATGTTGTGGATTGTTCTTCTCTGGAGTTGTGATGGTGATGTTCACTATTACTAATAGTATTAACTTTATGGCAAATGCCTGAGCATTGTTACCCTTTCTGTGGCCACTGCCCCATCTTGTCCAGGGTAGTGTTGAGTCCTGTACATGTGTCCTGGGCAGCTGGTCCAGGAGAGTCTGAGCTACTGCCATCTCTTTCTTCTGGTAAATCAATACACAAAATGGTGATACATTTTGGTTAGCAAATGTACAAAATATACATAGACATATATGTATAATGAGAGGTCACACATTGAAAGATACAGAAACCTATGAACTTCAAGTTCATATCATTCAATTACAACCGTGATATATTCAAGCAATTTCATTACAATGATTCTCTTCTAGGTACATTGTATAAGTAAATGTACATGTATAAAGATCTCTGACCAATAACAGATCCACACTTACCTTCAGCCTGCAGCCACTGAGGCTTGGTTTTTGGCCTGGCCTTACTTCTGTGAAGGACACACATGTACATGCAGGTTAGGTCAAAACATCAATTAAAGACATCAATCTGTACCCCCTGACAATTCCTATCTAAAAATAATAAAAGGAACAAAACCTTGATGCTGTTATCAAAATTCACTACGTACTGTAACAACATATTCATGTACGTTAGTGTGGTATATAATAGAATGATAGACTTACTGGTCTGGAGAATTTCTTGAAGGCTCAAACCAGTCTTCTTTTTTGCCTCTAGAGACAGCCCTGAATGGAGTTTTAAAAGAAAAGTCATGTGTTAAACACATTATGTTGTTGTGTGTATTTCCATTCCACACCCATGTCACAACAATGGTGACTTTTACTTGATACATATACAAGAAATGCTGTGTTAAGGGTACCTTGCTTGCTTCTGTACTTGTTTGTACAGAGAAGGTTCTTCCTGGCTCTCTCTTGTTCTGTCTGTCCGTGTACTCTCTGTGCCCAGTCCCGAGTCTCTGTCATAGCTGCAAAAAAGTCATTTTCTTTAAAGTTGAACCAATTAAAGTCATAAACTATCCATTTTTTGGTATTTTCTTTTTAAAGTTGTGGCAAATAAAAGAGTTTTACTGGTGCCTAGATTCTCTGCGACTAATTTTTAAAGCTGTACTTTTATTGCCTGGCCATACACTATGCATGACATCTCCTTGATACTCAGTAATGTGGGAGGTACGTTTCTCGAAGTGTGAAAATTATACCTCATAGGACTTGTAGACGTGGGGCTTTCACGAGAAGAAGAGCGAGAAGAAGACTCAGGGCTCTGCAGGCCGTCCAGACGTGCTGCCATCTTCTTGGAGATCCGAGGTGTCCTCTGTCTTCTTCTGCTGGGGGAGCTCACTCCTGTAACATATACATCCGAACATGAAAAGACCTACAAACATGATATATGAAATATATGGCATTTTCAGAGCATTCACATCGAAATAAAGGTCACATGGATTCCCTAGTAGCTTTACAGCAACGTTAGGCAGTTATCAAAGTAGTGGTTACACATGTACATGTATAAATGAATAGATTATCATAAACAAACCATGTTTGATTGTACATGTACATGGAACGGATCCATAGCAAAAACACAATAATTACTTGTATCTCTGTAACACATCAATCAGCCTGGTTGACACACCCCACTATATGTTAGCAGGAGTAAGATATCAATATCATTAATAATTCATAACTACTTCCAAAGCCCCAACGGGTAAGGCCATTGTTCGCCGCAAAAGTCATCCGACTATACATGACCGAGCACACTGCAATAACCTTAATCAGATAAGAAAGGCTACCTCTGTGGGGACATACATGTGCATTGTATGAGGCTTTGGGCAAGGTCATTATCAAATCATGTTGTGTGCTTTCTTTTTTGAAGGGAAACCTTGTTGACACTTCTTAAAACTGCATACACGATAAAGTTACACATGACAAACCAGTATTATATGCATCTTATTCTAAGTTGACACAATGTAAATAATGAACTATCACACAAATTTCAACATGAACAAAAGACAACAATATTTTCATTTTATGTCCACTGTATGCTTTGGATCTGTTACCCCAACTTAGTGATTATGTTCTCTATGTTTTATGAGTTAAGTATCCTTATTAGCACATTATGGGCTTTCTGTCCAATGCTCTCAAATCTATGTGAATAAAAATAAAATAACATTGAAGAGTCAAATAAAAATCTGACCTCTTGCAGACTCCTGACTTCGAGGTGTCTCCTCCTCCACCTCAGGCAGCTCCAGTTTGGCATCAGAATAGTTGATGATTCTGGTCTCAGACCGCAGTTCTGGTTCTGCTGGTGGCTTGGTCTCCACCTGGTCTCCCACCAGCACAGCGGTGCTGTAGTCAAACACCTGGTTCCCACAGCCTTTATCCACCTCGCCGTTAAAAACAAGGTAAACTCCAATGTACAGCCTCATGTGTCGTACACCAATGTCTAATTCCTGTAGAAATATATCAACAATAAAGTCACAATTATTGCAGTTTAATATCTCATACATTACTTTGCTCAAATATGTTTTTGATCTTATGCCCACTGCACATGTATAATAGAATATCATCATGATGATAAAGCATTTTGATGGCAATATATGGGTTATCAGCAATATGGGGCATCAGAAATTATTACATCCCAAATACAGGTCACTATAAATTAATGTGTAATGAGTATGCAAAAAATATACTGGTATGCACATTGTAAAAAAAATATGAACTACTAAAGGGCCTTATTACCTTCGCCAAGAAGGTTATGTTTTTAGTAGCGTTTGTCTGTGTGTGTGTGGGTGGGTGTGTTTGTGTGTGTGTGGTTTAGCAAGATAACTCGAGAAGCAGTGGATGGATTGGAATGAAACTTGGTAGGTGGGTAGAACTTCATGAGACCTAGAAATGATTAGATTTTGGGCCCCCTGGCGGCTTTCCTAGGTACTGCAGCTGAACTTCCGGTTTTGATATCTCATGTTCTGGACATGCTAGGGTCACGAATTTTGGTTGGTAGATAGCTCTTGGGGTAGGAAAGAAGTGACATAAGTTTGGGTCCCCTAGCGCCTTGTTCTGGAACTGCAGGAGCATTTGTTGAAAAAAATTTGAAGGGCGATAACTCAAGAACCGGTTGACGTATTGTCCTGATTTTTGGTATATAGGTAGTTGAAGTGATGCTTGACATAATCAAATGGCAATTATGCAAATCAGTACTTAATTTGCATAATTAATGAGGAAATTCTATAAATCTGCTTTGTTCGATAATAGAACTATGAAACACTTGTGACATCTACTTGAGAACGAGAAAAACATCTGAGGATATAGATTATGTAAATGAGGACCTAATTTGCATAATTAATGGCAAATTCTTATAATTCCATAGCTGTAACTGCTGCACCCCGAATTTCATACTTGCCACATTTGGAAGTTAAGTGAAGGTGAACAGCAATAAACATAACTTATTCAAATCATGACCTCATTTGCATAATTTATGAGGAAGTGCTATAATAGCCTTTTTGTTAAGATAAGGCTGTCATTGGGTGGAGAATATGATCAACTGATATAATCCATGCAAATGAAGCTCTTATTTACAAAATCAATGATTAAAATTGTATAATTTGTCACCCGCAAGGGTTAACATCATTTGGCGAAGGTATGAGATCGTGGAACTCTTGTTAAAGCCATGCAGGTACTAAAGATTTTTGCCATGATAATGATGTAAGAATCTAACAGATTCCTTACCGCCAGACTCTTGTTGTAGTTCCATATTTTGACCTTGGAGATAGCAAAGCCTTGTTGACTGTTAGTCTGTCCGTGTATGTTGAAGACCAGCTCAACAGAGGGGCTGTCAGGACCAAAACTACAGCTCCACATGTGCCTGTCTTTGATGGTCTGGAAAAAAAAAGCAAAATTCAAGAACAATTATCTTAAGAATTGAATTGAATTGAATACATGTACACTACAACTGCAGGGTGGTTATAAATTGTACCACAGAAGTTGGTGTGCTAAGCTGATGGGCAGTTCTACTGACTATACAGATACAAAAGCTGCTGTGTTACGCTGAAGGGTGGTTATACTGGCAAATTGTATAAAGATACAGAAGCTGGTGTGAGTCGAAGGGCGGTTGAACCAGCTATACACATACAGAAGCTGGCGTGTTATGCTGAAGGGTGGTTATACTGACTATACAGATACCTTAGTTTTGCCATTGACCAGACATCCAACAGTTCCCTTCTGCTCCTCAGCCCCAGATGCCACGATGTCAGCTTCAGACACTGGAATCTTCTTCCCCTCCAGGTCAAAGAACTCTATCTCCGTCAACCCCAGTCTGGAGGGATGTCCCCAGTTAGACAACATCTCACAGAACACCTCCACAGTGCCCTCATGTTTCTCCTGCGTGGTGCTGGCCCTCACATTAGTATCTTCTTCCAGCTCCTGCAAGAATTATAATCAGTGTACATGTGTTCTTTTATAGGTTGCATAACCATGAAATAGATTCAAGGGCTGGGTAAATTTTCTCGGTCACTGTACTGAAGAGTAAGAATATGTAGCTACATAGATACATGTACCTAACAACATATACTTAAAAAAAAATGTTAAATATCTTTTAAAAGTTTTCTGTCAAAGTTTCTGTTGTAAGTATATAATGCATTATGAAAATACACAGTTTCTATTCTTTCATTACTTCCGATTTTAACATTACACTTTTGGTTATGGACACAATATAGTATCAGGAAGTAGTTCAGGAACAAGAGTGTAAAAATGTGCAGATACCTGCTGTACTGGTTCAGTCCTGTCAGTCTTGGCCCAGGCCGGAGTGCCTGCTCTCCTCACCTCTCTGTGTTTCATCTCTCTCACCCGACCAATGTTAGCTCTGTTAGCTGTGCTGTCTCCACTTTCTCTGACCGAGGCTCTGGGAGACACAGGCTCTGCTGACTTCTCTATCTTACCTAGGGCCTTCAGTAACATCTTCTGTTGTCTGAAACAAGATAGAAGATTTCAACATTTAAAATAACCTACATGTAGGAATCTGGAGAGTTGGAACTCTTGTGGTACATGTACTACATATAAGATGACTGTCACACACCTTGAACAGCACAAATGCAACCAACGAATAAAGTTAAATAGGAGACCATAAAATGAAGTTAACATGCTACAAATTGATTTCAAAGTTTTAGAAGCTATGAAAACATGACTGGTGTATCTGGGAGGACCTACTTGGCATCCATCTGTAGCACCTTGTTCATGACTTGAGCCAGTGAGTCTCCAGACTGGAGAAAACTGCTCCTGGCAGCTTCTTCTACAAAAGCCTCTGAACTAGCCTGCAGAATGAGCAGAGAAAATAATTGTTAGAAGAATGTCCTTCTATGTAGTAAGTTTCAACAGCTTTGCATCAATTTTTCTTATTCAAGTATTCTTGCAGCCTTTAATTTGAGAAACAAACTTTAACATGCAATCAAAGACCATCTCCTTTCAGTGAGCACATAAATTCAACTAAGGTTGTGACGCTTGCATTGTTTGCTCATGTTATCTGTCACCTGTATGATATAGAAATGCTCTATCTGCAGCAGAGAAAAATGTTACCTTTAAAACACTTAATGCTCCTTAGGCCCACCATCTACATGACAGCCCTGACAGTGACCCTTACCTTCGCCCCATCCTGCTGCGGTTCCTGTGCAGGTGCAGACCTGGTGTCCCTCCTGTACTCCTCCACCTGCTGGTTCTCAGCCTGCAGGGCTTCTAACACAGCAGTAGTCTCCTCTCTAGGCACAGCCTAACCAAGGGACATACAGTCTCAACATTACCTGTATTACAGGACTGCTTTGTATGATCCTTACACTGTGGCTCTGACTTGTGTTGTTTTCTTTTTTTTACTTGTCATATTTGAACAGACATTCTATGAAAAATCAAAGATCAGCGGTTACATACCTCTCTGAAAGATTTTTTGTTGAATTTCTATGCATTTACCCAACAGTGGCTCCCAAAAGGCAAGAAACATGCATACAGAAGGAAGTTGAAGATAGCAAATGAGATAACCTTTTCTGGGACCTTTCTGAGACCTTAGATTAACTTCCTGTCATTGGCACCAATATGCCAAGCATACAGAAACAACTACAGAGCACAAGCAATCGCATAGAATGACATACAGAAAACAAAACCTCAAAGGTAAAAACAAAGTTCTGATTGAGCCCACCTTGGCCCTGCTGAGTGGTGCACTCCTGGTGTCCCTCCTCAGGTTCTCCAGTGCCATGTTCTCTGCCTGTACTGCCTGCAGTACCTCAGCCTTGTCTGCTGTCCAGTCCTGGTGAGATCCCGGCTGCACTTTTCTAGCTGCTGAAAGGGGGCGCTCCTTCCTCTTCACTGGTTCTGCATTTAAGCATCATGAAGTTTGATTTTCATATTCAGACTAATGCAATACTAGTAGTAAGTGTACAAAATGCAAAATGTACCTAATATGTATCTGTTGCAGAGGTTATGATAATGAAATAATGAAAGAGAATGGATGCCCTTGTTTTAGACTAGTACTGTTCTTACTGGGAATACTCAGTATATAACATATGAATGTATATACTAAAGTAACTCACCTGCTTCTAAAGTTATCTCCTTCTGAACCTTTTCTTTCCTGTTTGAAATGACAGAAAAAAATTACATTATACATTGTATATGATTGTGCAATGTACTTTGTGAAAGATATTTGTTGTAACACAGACTGATTTTCTGCTTTTCTGAATTAAAAGCACAAAAGATTATATATGGTTTTAGCCTTCCACATAGTTGTCACAACATGAGAAATTACATGCACATTGCTACTAAATGTCACATAATGGAACTGAAACAAAGACTGTCTAAATTCTACCTAATACATTCTTACCTATCTTTTGTGCCCATTTTACTTTGTCTATGGGTCTGTGGGTAGTCATCATGCTCTGTGCCTTTTCGTCTGCGTAGCAAAAGAAAGAACTTAAATTGGAAAGTGCAACATTCACATGCAAAATATAACATATTTTTGTTCTGCCATAAAATAAAGACACAAAACACAGCATTGGACTCACCGTGCAGCTGATAGATCTCTTTGCAGTTCTGAAAATAAAACATAAGAATTATCTTAGTTTGAATATGGTAGCATCATTTAAGGCATTCACTAAAGCATTTTGAGTACAAAAAAATGTGGACATGTAAAAGAAATCTCACCTTTTTTACTTGAGCCAGCAAACTCCAGTACAATCATATCTCCTGGTTCCAGTCCACCATCGTTTTCACCTTCTTCTGAGGAAATATAAACATCTTACTGCATACTTCATCATGACACATACAAGTACAACATGTTTCTAGTATGATGCTCATCAACAAGAAAATGCAAGAAAAACTCACAGGATTTGTTTCCTGTTAGGTGAAATGGAGTATTAACATGTTAGTAACACATCTGTGTCTTCCTGGTTCAAAAGTAATGTTCACTTACCTTTCTCCTCATCTAAGCTATCTTCTTCCAACTCCTCTTCTATCTCTTCTTCTGGTTCTTCCATCTGTTACAGAAAGTGTTTTTTTGTCATTTCTGAATCTACAGTATTATTAACTTATCCACTCATTCTGTGCAGGTATTTCTGATGTCTACCTGCACTTAAGCCGCATTGGTTTGTGTACTAGGTTTATGCATACATGTACATACATCTATATTAAATGTGTATGTGGATTTTAATTTGTGGCTTTGACAGCTACCACCTACATGTATGGAGTATAAAATAAATAATGGGAATGGTTTCTGAACAGTCTTAGTGTGATTCATACTTCCTATATTCTGAGAGATGCATAGTAAGTTATAGGTTGAACTTATGTCTGGTGCAGGTAAGCCGAAAAAGTATTTTGAGCCCTGCCCTCACTCACTCACTTACTAGTAATTGCTCACTTGCTGATACATGTTTTAAATTTGCATTTGCATAAGATTCTTACTGACCTTCTTGAAAGCAGCAATGTTCTTCTGAATACTTGAGTTCATCTCAAGACTTCTTCTCAACGTCTTCACATCATCAATACTCAACACCAGCTGTTCATTGATTTCCTCCTCCTCTGAGCTCCTGCTGTCTCCTTGTCCCCTTCTAACCTCAAGCTTTTACATGAAGAAACAAGAAATCTGACATTCTAAACCTCTGGGAATTATATAATGCATAATGTTTATTTACAACAACTGCTGACAATTTCAGGCATCACATTAACAGCAATGTTACCAGTAATGCTATATGACTTAAAAGACTGGTGGTATCACAATACAAACCTTAAAAACTCTTTCCTGAAAGCAGTGTAGTATACTGTATAGCCCATTAAAGTTGACAGCTGCTGTTGATGATAGGTGATACCATACCACAACCAGCAACAGAAAAGTTAGCAAAAGGTAATACAAAGGTATCAAAGTACATTTTGTACATTGTAAAGTAGGTGAAAAGTCATAGCTTTGTTGTTATTTTTCTGAACTGTTACAGTACTTTGCACACATACCTGTTTACTTGAAGGTTTGTTCTCGTATTTGGAAGCATCAATCTCTATGTCACTGTCGTCATCAGAAGAACCCCCCTGTAGGACTAATGACATGTTCCTGGCTAACTCCTCCTCTTCCTTGTCTGAATCACTCCCAGGGTCAAAGTCCTCTGAGTACTCTCCATCTATGGGGGAATAAACTTAAGATTCTTAACTAGTGTTGAAACCCAGCTTTGCCTCATCCAACATGTGATAAGGCCTGGTCACCACAGGCTAGAAGATATCACTGATTTCTGCACATATTACCTAATTCTATACATGCTTCAATAATATCTTTATACAAGGCAGGGAGTACTTCTAAAATGCATCTGTCCAACGGTTACAGATATAGTATCAGAGGTACATAAAACTGTTACAGCAATGTATAAAAATGAATTCTGATCTGAGCATCCCTTCAACTTTTGAGACAATATCTCCAAGAAGAAAAATTTATATAGTAAAAGCAATAAAAGAAAGAAGAAGAGCAAGATACATACAGTCCTGACAGCAGCTGGTGCTGGGAAGACAATTGTCCCTGTCCTTGGTGCTAGAGAAGGTGCCATTGACACAAGGAAGCTTGGAAGGGACAGGGAAGTCCCTTGGAACAGTAAAGGTGCAGCCAAGAGGTGCGGCAGAAGGGGAGGGAATAGGGGGCAGCTTGGGTGAGGATGGGATAACTATAGGTAAAAGAAAACCAGGAGAAAATGTTATTAAAAAAGACAATAAAAAGCATAGAAATCTGGAACTGAGTGGAACTACAATAGATTGAAGACTTTAAAAGTTCATGTGCTTTGCACTTTCAGTGTGAGAAATGCATCTTTTATCTGTGCTTGACATTAAAGTAAAGGCATAAGTGAAAGGTGGGGAATATCAAAATAATTGTACTGTGAGTATAAGGAGTACTAGTAATGCTACATCATGTGTAAGTCATGTATACATCTGTAGCAACTTAGGTCATCTACTACCAGAACATGTTGCAGCAACTACAATTGTAATGTACATGTATGAAAAGAATAGCCTTATTCTAACCTGGTGCTGCCACCCTCATCTTGTCCCCCACGTTAGTCCTGATGTGGACTGATCCTTGGAGCCAGTTCTTGCGCTGTACCTTCCCAGGCGCTGTCTTGGCACGGAAACGCTGTTCCTCCTGCTCCTGTGCATGTAGCTCCTGCAGCTGTCGGTGGTCCAGGGTACGGGGGTACTCTGTGTCAGCAACAAAGGTTTGAGTCTTTGGTTATACAAAGTGAAACAATGAATGCATGACTCTAACTTTGTAACACTGTAAAAACCCTTCCAAGCTAAACAAAAGGTTTAAAGCTACATCTAGAAGATAGAGCTGTGCCCTGGCATTAAAAACAAATCTTTATCAACCTTGCAGAAGCTATCAAGGACCAACTGCTCAAAACATGTCAGGATTAACACATATGGTATGATTGTCCAATTAACAAATGACTTACATGGAGGTATCTCTTACAGTGACCTAGAACTATACCTGACACATCAATATCAGGTTAAGAGATACAGTTGTACATTACATACTTGTAACATCACTAGCTAGTACTAGGTTTATTTTGAAGGAGGTAACAGTCAGAAGAGTTACTGTACCTCCAGCTGTCTTGCTCATGCGTGCAGACTTGGGTTGTTTAGGAGGAGAGGGAGTCTTCCCCTTCCTCCCTCCCTGGTTGGCTCCGTTCACGTATAAGGCAAAACCCTTTTCTCTCCTCTCCAGTTCTATCTGTTTATCATCCTTCTGTTTCAGCTTTTTCACTAATCTGTGAAGTATTAAAATGAGCAAGTGTCAAAATTAATTGCACAAAATATTTTCCCATCAGACAAGCACATTTTTGCCCGCACTGAAAAGTATGTATTTCTGCCTTACAAAGAAAGAACACTACTGGTATAAAATGAATCACACTTGAAGAATACATATTAAGGTGATTTAGATTTGGATTATCTATAAGTTATCATAACTTCATATGTGTCATGAGACTTTGATTTTAGCATCTATAAACTTAATCTAATGCAATTATGACTTGGTGATTAGATTCTATTTTAGACATTTACCTATTTCTTTGCTGTAATAGCAGCAGGTACTCCTCATAGCTTGGATCAATCTCTTCTTTCAGTGAAGACTGTCAGCAGATATAGGAAAATACAAGTGTAAGATATAACTAACTTCTAGTAAAGCAACAAGTACTAGTACTGATATCACAGGTAAGTTGACTTAACAGGTAAGGCATATCTATTTGGATTAGATTATCACTCAGAATCTTTTAGAATAGATTCATTAATCATTACATGCATCATACATATACCATACACTTTACATAGGTTGAAGGAGAACAAAGATGCATAGACAATATAATATTGATGTAAACTAATCCGTAATTGATTACAAGGAAAGACAGCGTGCACATGACAAAACAAGAAATGGTTAACAGGACAATGTGAAAGTATATAAGCACATGCATTGCATGAGTATGAGTCAGCCAGTGCTGTTAGGTGTACCTTACGACGACCTCTTTTTTGTGAAAGCTACGTGAAGCACACAACACAAGTCTGTTTAGGTATACACAATCTACACCAGGCTTTTAGCTAGGGGGTGTCCAGGGTGTCTTTTGGACGCCCTGTACTGAAAATAGTAAGAAATTGGACGCCCTACTTTTTGGTAGGACACCCAAAAGACTCCCTATTTTTTCCACTTCCAACCCCTGCCATGCACACATGCCTCCTTTCAGCATACAAAAATGATGGTTTACTGAAGGAAAAAACTCAAAATGCAGAAAGTTGTGTTTGAGAGAATTATGAATGTCAAAAAAGCCCCCCTAAAAAGGTCACACACTGTGCGTCTTTGCTGCGTACAATAAAAAAATGGACACCCAACAAAAAAATCCTAGCTAAAAGCCTGATCTACACATATATGTAATGTGTAGTGAATGGTGGAAATATGCAAATTTTTTATATCAAAACCAAGCCTGATATAACGTCCTTGTTTTAACTTAGGGGCATAAAATATATGCCCTGGTCAAAAAATTATTTTCAGTAGGCTCTTTGGGACATGGCACATGTATACAAAATCGGACTATCTGAGAAAAATTAAAGCTGGCAAATCCCTTGAGACTTGCTTAACAGATAATGATATCATGAGAGCAGTACTAGTATTCTTAAATATTTTGTGCCTGATCGATTTTGATATCGATTAAACTTATAAAATGCAAAGATGCATGAAAAATATAGAATAGATATATACACTTTTGAATACATTATTCTGTTAAAGATTATACAAAAGATAAGCATAACTCCGAGAGCAGGATGATTGTGTCATTAAATATTCATGAGATAACAAGGCTGTCATGACAACACAGCTGCGAGGATGTGGCATCTTTCCGTCTGTTCATTGGTGCATAGTGATTTAATCATGGGGAACTCCCAGGAGATACGGTGATTATAACCTATATCATATGTGAGCTTTGCTTTTCACAATAACATACATTTGTACATTTGCAGACTGGTTTTAAAGGTTCCACACAGTGACTTGAACAATGGAATCAAACTCCCCAAACAAAAAAAAGGAACTTGTACCTGGTATCATAACATAGCTTTTTTATATTATACAATTCCAGTTATGACTAATATAGTGAAATTGTAAATTGTTTCTCTATCTGCAGATCACTCTATCTATTTGACATTAATTTAAACTGGCTGCTGTTACTAGTAAATACATTATCAGTGAATGATCAATTTCAAGAATAACTGTGTGATAACTGCCATGACTGTTTTTTAAAGTTTGATTATGTAACGAATTGTTCACATAATTCTTTACCCCATTACAAATGTACCTTAATATGTGTTATTGTCAAGCAATCATAATTGGATAATTGGATAAATGGAGAAACTGAATTACCTCCTCCGCTGGTTTGATGGGAGTTTTCCTGTCTTCCGTATTGCCCCATCGTCTTCTGTTACCGGAGCCTAGAGAATAAAACAGTCTCTTAAAATTGCAAAATCAAGACCAGAAGCTGTCAAGTACCTATCAACAACTGTAAGAAACGTCACAACTCTCGGTGTCTTAGCTTGACGACGATTGGGTGGGGAGGGGGGCAGAAAAACAAACAGTGTCGACGAACTCTCGAAAATAAAACTATTTATTCCATAGCTTGTGGCTCTAAACTCTTCCAACTAGTAATACATAGTATGAACTCACGTTCCATGCTGACTTCTCCCTAGACGTGGGCATCTAATTAGATCCTAACGGCGACTAGAAGTTATTTTTTTCGACCGATTCTCGGCGCCTCCGAAACATTCATCATGGCGGCCACCTGTATAAGGGTCAAGTCGGGTCGAAGGTCAAACGTCACCGAAAAACGTGCGCTAGGAGAGGAGAGATGTGAGGTGCTAGGTGTGTGGTGTGTTACTGGCGTCCACAATTTGGTTCTTGACAGGATATGTGTTCTGGGATGTCCTGAGATGCAGTGACGATGGAGAGTGCCGACATAGCTGAAGAGGAGGACCGTAGTTCGCCGGTGAAGGCTGCACGTCTGAGGTGAGCCCCCCCCCCCTCCCATAGCAAGGAGTATTGACTCTTCAATTATGCTGCTAAAAAGTGTTATCATGTCAAGTATATGGCCCATTTGGTTACATGTGTATTTCTACCCCAAAGTATATCTTCATCATACATTTTTTCGCACAATGTCATTTTTCATGGTTTATTACATCAGGCTGGAGATGTAAAGAAATGTTTTTTGTGCATCAATGAAAGTAAAATTTTTATAGCCATAGGTCTAGGATTACAGTGTGGACATACATACATGTACATGTAGATGAGATATGTGTCTAAACACAGACTCCATGTGTTGCATGTCCGACCCACAGTGCACAAGAACTGCTGGCTCATCGGAACCTGGACCGTACTGTTCCTCCCAGAGGGGGGACGAAGGACTATGCCCCAGACGGGAGCCAGGAGCAGGAGGAGAAGCTGCAGGGCATGTACAGTCTGTACAGGAGGATGCTGGCAGAGGAAAGGGTCAATAAGATGTAGGTTTTCTGAAATGTGTTAGAGCCACCTTTTGACATTGCATCCCCACTTGGAAATGCAAACTTTAAGGCACTAAGTCGTAAGGCCCACAATGGTCCACAATGTAATATAATTATATGCCATGTATTTCAGATGCGTCGACATCATATAAAGTTTATGCATGTGTGGTGTTATTTTGCAGTGGAAACCTGTCCACAGCAACCTGGCTGGAAGATCTAGGTCTTGCAGAAGTCACTGTAGACAAGGTACATTAATTATTATAACCTTATATGGCATACAATACCTTGCTCATCTATAGCTCCTTTTATTGAAAGATGAAGACCACTTTTCACCCATGATAAAGTTATGTAAACATGTTTTGTTATGACCAGTTGCCTAATGGCTGATTTTTATTGTTGTGGATATTTGCAGGGTAAGTTCTGGCATCACATGGGGCACACCGATGAAGGCAAGAAATATCTGTATCCAGAAGAAGTAGTTTTCCTGATGGAGATGGTAAGAAAGTCTACAATAAAAACTATGGTTACCCCACTAACACTAGAAGTTGTGTTCTGACATGGTATTGGAGTACATGTATTCATAATTTTATTTATTAAGGCATTTGTTGCATTGTCACACTTCAGGTCCTGGTGCAATTCCCAATTTTCCAAACAAAATGTCGCAAGTAATGACTAAAGTTCAAAGTTTGTACTATCAATGCATCAGTCATGTTTTATTTCCTTCAGAATTCCATTGAGGTGTACTGGAATAAGGTACCACTGGCGATACAGCAGGCCTATGCCATGATGCTAGGGGACAAGGTCAGCATGGAGCAGTACCAGGTAAGGAAGATAGGGGGCACATGTGAGAGGTTGCTACAATGTATTTGCTAGTCTAAGTCAATGACATACTGCAATATTGCTGATTCCAAAGATTGCAGTCTAGACAAATTGTCTAGACTGCAATCTTTGGAATAAACAAGTTGTCAATGTTTATGATAGAACACCCTTTAATGCAACTGAAAACTGACTGCTGAGAACATTGCATTTCATAACATATTGGGTTGATAATAAATAAGTAGTTAGTATATATACATGTACATGTGTACAGTTCCTCTGAAAGAGTAAGATTATCATACCACATAAACATGTTATTAATGATAATGATATATCTCTGCTGCCACCACCAGGTATATGCTCACCTGTCCAGACTTGGCTACATACTGATGAGACATCAATCAAGGTACCCTAGCCCTCATGTAACCAGGCTTTTAAAGATTTTTCAGATTTTAATTCTCCTTGGAATACTATTCTTCCAGATTCAGGATACTGTACCTCAGGTATGAAATACTATACTCCAGTAACACCTAATATTATACTAACTTTAAATATCATCTAAATATTATCCAGGTTAATACAGGAAACTATCTTTGGTGTATGTTAATCTGAAAGTTTTTATTTGAACAAATCAGTGATGCAAGCTTGTTGTCATTTTGCAGAGAGCACTTCTCTTGGTATGAGCGTCAGATCCAGCTGGATGAATACATCCCCTTGAAGGAGCGAATCAAGGAAGGCCTAAGTTCACAAGTCAGGGACTGGTTTCCTTCAAACTTAAAGGAAGAACAAGCTTCTTCAGGTAACTTAGATAAAACGGAGGAGGTACAAAATGTACATAGAAACAAGCTTGCCAGCCAAGAAAGTGAAGAAGAAGTGAAGTCGGCATCACATTCAACAGTAGAACATTCAACCTTCAATCAAATGTCAGATCCAAGGTCAGAGGGAGAAAAATCAAAGATGAAAGGAAGAAGTGAACAGCCTGTGGATGATGAACAGATGGAAATAGACTGTGAAAATGATAGGAAAGACAAGAATGAGAAGCAAGAGGGATTGAACTCTTCAGTTTTGGTACCTCATGAATACAAGTGGGACTTTACCAACATTAACATACCCAATGTGGGACAAGATTGCAATGTCTCAGAGATCCCTGCACCTAGTGCAGAACTCCTCCCAGCTGGTGTACAGGTGAACAGCATTCTTAAGATCAACACAGGTGCGTTCTCACTGAACACGAAGAAAGGAAGCAAACGGAAATCCAATTCAGAGCACCTTTCCAAGATTGTGCCAAACCTGAGAGCTGAAGATGACCCAAGAAAAGTGTCCAGGAACTGGGTGGAGTATAAGGAGCTGTGTGGAGTGAAGAGGGAAGTGGACATGTCTGACACAGCTGTAGCACACCTGTGGGAGGGAGATGTCACCCCATTGGTCAGGCCAAGTGATGCTACAGACATGGGTAGGTCTTCTTACAATCTGCCTGATGATTTATGTATGGTACATGTACAGACATGGGTAGGTCTTCTACAATCTGCCTGATGATGTATGTATGGTACATGTACAGACATGGGTAGGTCTTTTAAAGTCTACATACTTTTATTACTGCCTTTTTTTTGTTCAGCTGGATGCCTCCTAGGACATCTGGCAGTGCCTCTAGCTCAATACTGGAATGTGTTTAAACTCTAACCCACATTTGGGACAAGAATTTCCCTGCAACCTAACCTCATGACCTCATACTTTCTCAAGGTTTACATTTAAATAGATTCCAGGTTTGGTCTCAAGAATTATATTACACCTTTTAAGACATCTTACCTATATGGAATGCTGTCCCAGAAAGTGGGCCTGTGACCTTTTGTTCAATGTCGTTCCGGTGGCTGATGAGTTAGGCGACAGATTTACAACATTGGCTGGCAACAGCCATTCCTCACCAGCTTTAAAGGACAGCCTAATCTTCAGAGAAATTGGTTTCCGCCAAGGTAAAATGGCCCTGGTTTACACCTCTATATTATTTGCAATACCATGTGATACTTCATCCCCCCAAGTTCTCCACCATTACTGCTTAGATAGGTTGGGAAATGAGGTAGGACGACAATTCGTGCACCTCTATGGAAATGGTGACACATGCACAGCATTATTTGGGAAGCTGTAAATGTTACTTTTATTAGGCATTGACAGCCAAGAATGTATGCCATTTAAATTATATGGGCTGTTCCAAACATCAAATTTGTGTTGGCTAAATGATAAATCAATGGAGTTTATTAGATTGTTTTGGTAGTTTAGGTACATTCAGGTCTTCTAGTTACATTGTACTGTGACAAAATCAAAACATGGAACAGGTACGTACGAAATTGTATTTAGCATAACAAATGCCAACAAGGAAACATTGTAACTTTTTCACCACCACACCTCAAGATCAGAGGTTGATTTGAACTTGGTGTATATATGACTGGGGTCAAGGGCAATCATGTTGTATTAAGGTCATCTGAGATGTTGAAAGATCACACATCAGCTACTACTAGTACACATACACATGTACCGTAGTTAACTCCAGACCAGTATGGTTTATCACACCTTTTACTGTTCTATTAGTCGACAATTTTTCTGCTGTACATTGTTTTGTTCTATTGCTATATGTTGTATATAATCTAGATGTAGTCCTGCAATCTCTAAGTACCGGTAAATTTTACCACCACCACTTAATTGTCTACTACATTTGTACATATCCCTCTGCAGTTCCCATTAAGCATTCCGTGCTTTGCTCACGTTCTTGAGATGGAATTCAGACCTGCCAGCCTCTCAGACAGTCTGAAAATAACCACACTTCATTAGCTGCAGGGCTGTCCTACCCTCCAGACACTCTCATCTGTACAGGCATCAAGGGTACAGTAGAGTAGATCCTTCCGCCAAGTAGGAATTTGGGGTTCCATTTGGGGCAGCTCTTCTATTGACTGTCAATTTTGGTGGGATTGTCAAGAGCCCTACAGTTGTACATCGCTGATGTTATTACCTACATGAAAATGTAGGTATTGTTTTTGGTTTGTCTGTCTGTATGTCCGTGTGTGTGTGTGTGTGTGTGTGTTTATGTCTGTATGTATGCGTGTGCGTGCGTGTGTGTGTGTGTGTGTGTGTGTGTGTGTGAATCCGTCCGCAAAAGCTGTTTGTGGTGATATTTGGTATGTGGCTAGGTTATTGGAAGGCAAAAGTCAAGGTCAAATTTGGGCCTCCTGGTGGCTGACCTTGGTACTGCAGCAGAACTTTGTTTTTTCGTATCTTTTGTTCTGGACATGCTATAGTATGTTCACATTAGGGGTTACATTTGTACTTCCAAACAAACAATCTCCCTTCATCATTAGCATTCTGAACAGTACTTTGTAAAAGCTGGGGGCTCTAACTGCTCTGTTACACCAGCCTACCTCTGCATACATTCAGGCTCCTTAAAGATAACCCATGTGGTTCTACATCAATCTTCTGATGGATGGCTGTAAGTGTGTATCTCTATGGGTAAGCACATATCAGTGCCACGCTGTGTGACAACTCCTGATAACATGTTTCTTGCCTTGGGGTATTAATGTGTTGGAGATAACATTTGACAGTGTTAAATATAGTTTTCACAGTCCACTGGGGCTTTGTGCATTCAATATGAATATCCTCCAAAGAGGCCATTATGAAATCACCTATTGTAATGTAGTCTGGAACTTTTATGTGTTTTGTACATGTGGTTGTTCAGTGGTCATGCATGCCTTGTAGTTTAACATAGTTTCTCCAGGTGGCATCATTTTTATATTCATTGCTTCCAATCATGTAGCAAAGGAAAACCATACCTAGCCTCCTGGTAGACAGCATGTCATTCCTGTTCATGTTGTTACTTTTAAAACATGTACAATGCATTAATTATTATGTAGCACACAAATATGACAAGCTGAAAATATATGTTGTAAGATACTGTAAGGCCACACTGAATTAATTTTATGGATGGCATCCTCTGAAAACCCCCAAAGTAGTGCAAGCAGACAAATAAATTTTAGAATTACAGCCAAAAATAAAAATGCTGCTAAACCACAGGAGTACAGAGCTGGTATTATGAATTTGCAGTAGTACATAGTAGTACATAGCAACTTTTACGACCCTGCTGGCCTTTTGCGGCATTTAAAAAAATTTTTAAAACAGGTGAAAATCAATGGCCGCACAGATGTCTTCCATAAAATTATATCAGTGGGGCCTAATAAAAGACAAAATTATCAAGTTCTTACCAATGACACAAAGATGACAAATTGTTTGTGTTGATATGTCTTTGCTTTTCACTCAGGTACCATCTTAAGCAAGCTGCAGGTGATTCAAAATATCAGTCTGGAGAAAGAGTGCAGCAGGTTAGTATGGCATTAGTCATCACTAAAAGTCTTGTTGTCACATCTTATCTTACAAACATTACAAACATCCTCATTTAAAACTGGTGATAAATCTGTTAGGCTTTGACATGCTGCAAATTGCTTGTTTATATCATTACCTGTGCAATATGTCAATTATGCCTATTCATAATAGAATTGTATATTACGCACATGAATATTTTGCATGTTATGTAAAACCTGTATTTTCTGTCATATGGAAACCTCAATGATGAATAACCTTCTCACTGCTTCCCAATCCTGTAAACAAGACAATTTGGTGCTAAAATGTTAGTTCAGCAGGAAAAAGGTTAAAAACTATTAACCTATATAAATTGTGTTGGGAATTGAACTACTGTAACATAATTGTGATGTGTTTTTCGGTTAAATTGATTTTATGCAGCAGTTAAAAATAGAAATAAACAGGTTAGGTCACATGGCAGCTCATGTTACATCACTGTGACTACATGTACTGGTACAACAGAAATTTGGATGTGATTACTGGTGTATAATGATCCAAAACAAAAGAAATTAATTTGACGATAACTTTGTAAGTAAATCCGTTGTGACAGCTCATGTAATGAATACATAACTGTTGCAGCAGTACTATCTAATATCAGATGAGTGAATAGTCATTGAGATTAATTAATACAAACAAACACTCAGGGCTATTCATTTGTGTGTATCCAAAATTGGAGCTGTGCATGTAATTTTTGACTGTGGGTATACACTGATGCAGCTAGACATCTTTTTCTGTGTACCAAAATTGTGAGATAAGTCACTCCAGTGCACCTATTCCCTATACTGAATTTCAATCTCTGCAGCTGTACTGGCACAGATTCAATGGTTTCACCCAAACAGCATGCCACTACTACAGATGAAAGATGGACACAACCCATGGCAGCTGGAGAAGGGACATAAATCTTACTGTCACCGTCTAATGTCACCAAAGTCTGTTTACCTCTAATCCCCAAGACACCATCACACTTTCTATAAGGATCACAGGCCTTGCAAAAAGGGCCTACCATCCATCTAGCAGGTCATTCAATCCAGTCTCCAAAGTGCAGCATACATTTTGTAAATGGGGGAAACTTTAATGTATCTTGCAGACTCTGAAGCAATGTCCAAGGGTTATTCCTTTTTATAACTTTAGTGAGGGAGGGAAGGCATGGCTATCATGATCATCCTCATTTCATTTCTGTCTTTACACATATAGTCTTTTAACTTCTGAGCTACATGAGCAAACATTGCAATTCTGATAGATTAATTATAGATTTAATATCAGCCAAGACCCAATATGTTAAAAGAATAGCCATTATGGCTCAAAATAACACCTTCATATGCAGGTTAGTGCAGGTAAAATCAGAGCTGTGCAGGTATTTCTAAATTTGTCCACCTTCAACTATACTCTGCAATGGTCCATGTACTGGGTTTGTACAAGTAAATGTAGTGTATGTGGGTTTTTATTTTCTGCACTGACTGTTTCCACCTATGAAGTAAATTTTCAATGTTACCTGCACCAGTGCAGGTGTGAATAAAAAAGTAGTTTGAGCCCTGGCCATTACTGTAACCATGAATTTATGAGTCCATTTATTTCTCCTCATTAGTACTGATGAGCAAAAGACCTCAAGTCTATCAAAATTCTGTTCCCATAGATACTCAGGAGTTATGGATGCGAATGTTTCTGAAGATGGCCGGATGTTCTACTTGCTGATGTGACCCATATTTCATAAGTACCCTTCATATGTAAAGCAGTTATGAATGCAAGATTTTGAGGAAAGAATATCCTGCATTCATCGCTGCATTATATAACTTGAAGACCACTTGTAAAATATGGGTCACAGACGCAAGTAGCAGTATCCATTGGAAACAAGAATTTTGACTGACAGTTCTTTTGTGTATCAGTACTAATTGAGGAGAACTAAATGGACTCTAACTTCTTTCTTTCTGTATTTCAGCTGGCAAATAGATAAGCATATGTTCCATTTTTTCCAAGAAATGTCCAATTTACATTCTCAGATGGTACACACAACATGAACCCAAAACCTCTTGGTTCCTTTGCAAACACTGTATATAACGTTACAAGTACACCACACAACACCAAATTCAATTATGACTTAGACATAATAGACATCAAAATAGTATCAAACTTAGTACCAGAATAGGAAAATTGATTATTGAAATAATAGCTGACTATATTTACATGAGTCACTGTGGACTAGCCCACTGCCGTAGTGATTGCACAACTGTATGGCCCAAGGGCTACTGAAAAGGAGATGAGAGTTGCTCTAAAAAGCCCCTATGCACCATATTTAGGTACAGGAAGGAACTTTGATATGTGCATGTGCCTGCTGATGCCAATCTTCTGTCTTTGAACCATTTTGAATCAGGTATTTCTGTATTAGAGACACCAGCTTACCAGTGCCATGTGCATGTGCAATGAATTTGAATGGAGTAAATGCAAACAGCCCCTTATGATGGTCTAATTACAGCATCAGTGATTAACCTCAGTCGAGACCTAGATAAAAGATGCGCCATCTGGCTTGTTAAAAGACACATCTCGTGAGACAAGTGGAACGTAAATGCTTAAATTAGCCTTAGTGCTTCAGCAGTCTTCCCTTATTAGCTGGGACTTCTGTTGATGCATGAGAGACATTAAGCTTACCTCACCTAGGTGAACCACTGCTGTGCATTTTAACTTTCACTGGTGCCTGCTTGTGAGAGCCCTTCACTGAAAGCCATATTTTCCTGTAATTTTTGTTATCTTGCTATAAATCATTCTACCAGAAGTACTCTTTGCACCCATATTTTTCAAAAAGAATCTTAAGTTCTAGAATGTAAAAATTTTTAGGTCTACTCTTCTTATATGGATGGTATGAAAATTGCCTCCATACAGTACGTTGGCAGTACAGTGAATGTACTGTGAATCCTGTAATGTATGGTGTATTGGATGTAATATCACTGTTTAAGGTCATATAAAGGTGTGTGCCGGTATTTAGGGATGACATCCTGCCTATAGTTTTCAAATATTGTGTCAGAAAAGATATCATCTGCAGTGGGCAAAATTTTGATACAATGTTGACTAAACATCCTCTGAAAACCATCTCTGATTACCTTGTTTTTGTCCTGTGCAGCCTCCCGAAACCTGATAGAACCCTGGAGATTGCGTATGACGTGTTCCTGCCTGATTCTCACTTTAAGAAATCCAAGCCTGGCAGGCCCAACCTCAGGGTTTGTGTTCAGAGGTAAGAACTTTTGAGTAAAGCCCTTTGCCAATGGAATTTGAGCCTCTGGAGGGATTAGATAGCTTTGCATGTGTTCATGTACATGTAATAAGGCCCATTTGTCAAAGCAGTCACGATTTTTCAAAATGTAACACGAAAGTTTTCATCTTATTACAAAACATGGCTTGTCCCTGGTGCTGAACAGCACTCAGCTGACATAGTTAAAGTTGTGTTTTACATATTTGTTGCTATCCTGTTGCAGGATAGCATACTCAGATGTTGCTGGTTGTCTTCTTAAATGTACACTACACTGAAACAAAGAGCTGAACTACTATTGCCTGGTGCACAAGATTTCTTCAGAAAATTGTGCTTGACTTTCCGACATGCCGTGCCCAAGAGGTCAATACAGTAGTCTACAACATTCCTTCTACCAGTGGAGGATTGGGATTTGAAGGTCCTTGGCATATCCTATCCTAGATTGAATTTGCCAGAGGCCTGGAAAATGACATGGAGGAAATGACACTGAAGACTCAATGAATGTGAAACAAAATCTCCAAGGGGATTGAAAACGAAAGTACGTGTAAGGGCATACGGAAGTAATCCTCTGGTTTTCAGTGGGAAGGTAAAATTTAATCAATTTCTCTTCAGTACCAGGGACAGTCTACAGCTACAATATCTTACAGCTACAGAACAACTCCATTTAAACCTGAGTTGGAGACTACAAGGTTTCAGTGTTATGGCCAGATACCTCGAGTGAAAATAAGACGTAGTGAAACAATTTGATGATTTGAATATGCCCCTTCCTTTTAACACTAATTGATACCCTCAATTTCTCCACATGAACCACAGTAAAGCCACCCTTTCAAGCCCAAGTATGGCAGAGAATACCAATATACATGTAACAGAACTTTACAGAATGTTCTGGATCCCGACAGTGCACTGTAAATAACTTTCACATAAATCATGAAGAGATCATCATCATCATTTCTGATAGCTTGAATTTTTCCAGCTAATCAATTCATCCAGAGATGTATTGATTATATCTAGAGAAAGAAGCACTCATAGACAGTGATGCTGTAGAAGAGTGATGTCTCAAAAAATCCAGACGTAATTTCTATATTTCATCCATTAGTAGAGTTGGAATTGTCTATGAACAATGCTTGCCTTCATCAATGAGATAGATGTTAATTTACTGGGGAAAGTAGGGACACATTCAAATTTTGGTGCTGCACAGCTTGATACACCCAGCTAACAGTAACTACTGTAATGTGGACCATAAACAGAGAAACAGTATATCCTTTGGATGGTTCCTTCAGTCATTAAATCATGTAAATGCGTGTTATTTTTAACACAGCGTATTGATTGACGTCACTACGTGATGTTATGGTAGTGTATCTAATGATGACAAACAAGCTATGCATATAAAACAATGCTATTTTTAGGTAAACTGACTACTTGGCAACCATTCTTTTTTTTTAATTCACTTACTTTTGAAATTAAAGTAGAATAACAAATAAACAGGTACACTTACGTATATCATTTAAGTACATGTACATGTATGTCAACAAGAGGAAACAATGTTGACACTGTGAAAGAATTTATATGCGCATAAATCACAGTGTTATAATGGATGGGTGCCATCCTGCAATTATCCGCCTGCCTCCAGCATGAGTCTCCATCCATGCCTGTTGTTCTGATTTAACGTCAGAGCAAAGGTCATCGCTTAGAGTGCAGGGTAGTGTGAAGGAATCAGTCAAAGAAAATCAGTCCGTCTCTGGCCAACAGACCTTTATATGGCCATGGGGATGATCCCTGTTTACTGAGCTGTTAGGAAATACTGTATAATTTATCGGCTTTATTCCATCCATATGGTGGATACAGGAAAGTGTGAAAATTTCAAAGAAGAATCATCTTATTATAGGAGGCATGTGAAATGAGTTTGAAATGAATAATGAGATTAAAGAGGACTAGAACATCAAAGGAAAGAACACTATTAACTGTTATGTTGCATGCCTGCCAGGTTGCCAAGCTTTAGTTGTTATTTATACCATGACTGTCCAGTTACAGTTACTAGTAACAAATGTGATGCCTTCTGGCACACATAAACTAGCTGACCTATCACCCATCTAGGTCTTATAGCCCACAACTCACTGACCCCACAAGTTCATGAACGATTATCAATATGCCAAACACATCACAGCAGAAATGCACATTAAAAATCAATCAGAGGAATATATGAGATTTGCAGTCTGGCTGGAGTCTGCAGTGGTAGAGATAATGTCTGTCATGATAGATTTTCACTTTAACCCTTCATATAACTATAAGAACTCATAACCTGATTATCATCAATTTAGTTGTGTGACATCAGCTTTAATCCGAGGACTTACTGATACTGATATAGTTGCTAGGTTGCTTATGATGAATTAGGTGGCTTATAAAACATTGCAAACATGATTATGACACCTGCACATGTGTTGCTAGAATCTCTATGCTGTCATGCGAACACCATAGTACCAAAGTAAGGTCTATGCAATATGTTTTACAAAAGATATCAAGCTTAGTCTCTGGCATTCCTGAAGCCATTCGAAACTGCAAGCACAAGTTATCTAGTGGAAGAATCTTTGACTCTATGTCTGTTTATGCTTACACCATTGCATGTCTATGTCTATTTTACATCTTATTGAAATGAAATTTGAAAAAAAAATGCAAACCCACAATTCCCCAGTTCTGTAGTGTCATGTCTATGAAAGGACAACATTTTTACAAGTAGAGCAAACAAGTGAGCAAAATTATTGCTTGATGTTAGTAATTTCAAAAAAGGGTATTTTGGTACCAACCTTTTTGGTACCAAAAAAGGGTATTTTGGTACCAAGCCATATCTTTATGTTAGAACATTTTATGACCTCTAATAAGTGGAAATAATCATTACCCAACATGATCATTCATCGCACCACTGACACTGAGAAACATCAGTACTACAAAATGTAACTTAAAAATTATCTTGATGCAGCTGCAGCATAACTTCTGAATCAGCTATTCATTATGTTCCTATGTAGTTGGGAAGTTATATAACTCTGGACTATAAGTACATTTTGTTATATGAAGCTGAAATATTACATAACAGTGCATATGCTATTTCTTAGAAGATGGATTCTACATGTAGCTTTGACTTTCATTTCATGGCTATTGCAATAAGCCGGTAATGCCTGTTTGTGCTTTTGTAGTGGCCCACTGGACCTTTATAATGCCTTCCCACCCACACAACTGAACAAAGGGCACCTTTGGTTGGTTATGGTACATAAGAAAAATATATAGTTACCATCTGCATTAAAGGACCTTTCATACTTGATCTATTAGCAGCACATTGTGTGATGGTCTAGTGCAAAGCAGTACGGGTGATCCGAAAATCCCGTTTGAATGCCACTCCTTTTACTTGGCGGTCAAGTCATTAGTGCACTTTCAACATCAAAGATTTAAGCCCTGCTGGTATACACAATAAGTCCATGGCAACTATATCAACAGTGCACAACACATGGAGGCAGTGGCAAGAATAGCTTGAAATGATTGACTGAAATATTTGCTCAGGTCTAGACGCAAGATGGTGCCCTTTAGTTTAAAATTCTCAGACATCATTAAGCTCCAGATCATATTTCCCTGGTAATTTTGCTGCCGTACTTTCAGCATTGTTCATGTACAGGGCTGGAGTTCATTGGAAAGCAGTAAGCTGTGAAATTGACTGTCTACATCCATGAAGGTCAGACATCCAGGTAGAATGTTATGTAATACAAAATAAATCAAGCAACTGGATAAATCCTCTGAAGAGACATTTCAGATAGCATCTTCAAACTTTGGTCAGTGACTGAGAATGAGTGAGAGTCACTGATGAAAGATAGTGGATGCTATCAGAAATTCAGAGAAGTCATCCAGTGGCTTGATTTAGTTTGTGTTGCGTGTCTATTTGACACAAAAACTTGCTCTTTCCTTGGTGCTGAAATGTATTCCCATGAAAAACACACCTTTTACATGCTATTAGATGGATCTGATAGTTCCTCATTTCCCTTTTCTGCATTGTTCTTTCTTTGTACATATGCAACTGTTACATTAGACCTCATAACATACATAAGGTATGGGTTTCTACTATAATAATGATTCATCATGCAATACTTTGAGTTTAACATTGAGATGAAATTTGATGCCTCTGATATCTATGTCTATCTAATAATCATATGAACATTTCAAGAGTTTGAACATTTGTTTATTCATGACTGCAGACTAGCTTGATCCATAATCATCCATAATACAGCACCCGACTTTAAATTATTAAAGATTCTGAAAATGCTGAAGAAAATATTTAAAAACATTCATTTCAAGATGTATAGGAAAGAAAATCCCAGCTTGAAAAAAAAGAACAAATAGTTTGCTGAATGTGTGCTGTACTCTGTAACCTTCGCCCCTACAGGGGCCTATCATTGTGCCTGAATTCATATCACTTACACAAGTTACAGCACAAATCACTGGGGAGAGAGTTAAGATCCTGATGGAAATGTACTCATCTATCATTGTATTGGAGTGCTTACATTGACCGTGGCATGGCATGGTATCATTTGTCTTGACTGTTTGTTGAATTACTCTGTTATTTCCTTTCTGCCTGTACTAAATCACTACTAATGTCATACTTTTGATGTGTGTATTGCTCAAGGGCATGTGTGCAAAGGACGTGAAGAAGGATCAGTTTGTACTCCTGCAATATTCACAGTTAGATTTTGTATGAAGTGTTTTTAATTCTTCGACATTCTGAGAAAGACCTAGAGACATTTTAATGCTTCTTCCTATGACAGAAAAGCTCTCAGAAAATTTAGTATCTCGGTGTACTTCTAATTCAGTAAGCTGTCCTTTTTACCTTTTGAAAGGTCATCTTTTCTTGTGGTTCCATTTTTCTTGATCTACTAGCCCATACCTGCAGAGTGACAAGTAATCAGTCTCACGTTAGACATGCCAGAAGTTCAGTGCGACACAATGTCTCCCGGATATCCCATGCTGCTACAGATAGCACGGGTATACCTGATAGAAAAATGCCAAACCTAAGTAACAATGCCATTCTGGGGAGAAGGTAGAATAACGGATGTACTGCCTGCTATATTTGTACTATTACTGCTATGCACAAAATAGCTTTGCCATTCTCTACTTATATTCTTAGATGCTATATATATATATTTCCTTCTGAATTACCTGGATATACTATATCTGTATGACATGCAGACTCATAATGGAAAATGTCTAGACTCCACCACAGTGACTGTAAAACATTCACAAACTGGAAACATTTTCATAGAATTCTACTAGTATCTTGCTGCAAGAGTAATGTTTCAGGTACTGTTTCTGTGCAATTGCAAAAATTCTTATAGTGACTATGTACTAAATGATGATTAGTGAAAATGTTGTAATAATTTCATTTCAAAAATTTGTCTTTCTTACAAACTCATGCTGTGGACTTACTGTAGACATAGCCAGCTATGTGTAATTGAAGTGAAAACAATATATATGTTCTCATCAAATTTTATAAAAACAAAATACTTTTACTCCTTTTCTTTATACTCCTTAGACCCAATATCTCAGTACATCCAAGTTTCCTGGACTTGATTATAAATCAGTCAACAGCCAATGAAAGGAATTTACTACTGGGATAATCCAAAATCCATTTTGCTAATGTCTACCGTGCACAGATATTTACGAGTCCATTTTCACACTGATTACACCTCAAACAGTCCATGCTTGGTCGAGATATACAATCACTGTCCACCATTTATAGTACATTGTATTATTTACCTCCGCTATCAGGTAATTGATAAATTCAATGTACTGTGAAATTTAGACTAGATGCAATTGACAATTTGCATGCGAATTCTCTGTTCAGTATTCAATTTGGACTTTGTCATAATGCTGTAAATTCATTTATTTTTGCAAATTTGAGGTAAAAGGGGAATGAGGTTTTTGGTATGTCATGGTTGAAACAACTCCTTAGTACAGTACATGTAGGTACATTGGAGGTACATATTCACAGCATCATGATTTTGTGACCTCTCCTCAGCAAAAAATTTCAAGATTTAGAGTAGACACTGTGTCTGAACATAGATGCAGTGTTCACATACTAGTATGAATCGAGTTGACTATCACTAGTACTGTAGCTGACAACAAATTTTCTGTATTCAGTCAGGTACATGGACATTTTTGCACCAGCATGGAATGAATGTCAGACGAGTGTAATAATGGGACCTAAATCTGTGATCAACTCTCTACTCTTTAAATCACCAGCATTCTTTACTTCTCAATCTCCCAGCTCATTGTTGCTGTTAGTACATGTAGATGTACATGTAGAAGATGTTCTCATAATGTCACTAAATTGGTCTTCACTTTGACCATGGGTATTCAGCCAGGGATATTGCTGATGAATGATTCCATTTCCAGTTGGGAGATTTGTACATTCCAATATGATTCTGTGGATATAAGGGCTACTTTTGAGTGTGGTAACATTGTGTTTGCTCTTAGTATGTAACCGTCAATACAGAACACTCAGTTACTTCTTGGAAATTGCTGTTCAGTGTAACATGGCTGCTATCATCATTACCCATACACCACAAAATGGGTATGCAGTGTGATGCAAAATGTGTACGGTTGTGCTGGTTAATCAAACTGTTTATCAATCAAGGAAATCATGGCACTTTACTACATTTCAGTCAATAAAGGGTTTTTACCAGGGAACAGGGGATCATGGGAAAGGATTGAAGTTTGAAAAGAGCTGATCCAGAAGGATGATGAGAAAAATGAGTATATCTTCAATCTACAGGAAGCTGCACTTTTTTTCACACACAAATTCTTCCCTGCTCCATCTCCAGACAGTTTCCACTTTGTTTTATCTGCATACAGTTTCCTCTCAGTGGTCTTCAAGTCAGTCAATCTTTTAGAATATCAGTTGGACACTGAATGCTTCATCTAAAAATTACTGTACAGTTTCTCCCATCTGTACCCGTAGGCATCCTTCATCCCTCAATGGTCAAAGATGTAAGTCCAGTTGAGTTTCCACTTTATGGTGCCTTAAGTTTCCCCTTGATTATACTACAAAGTGGAGCTTCCCAATGAAGCTCAAGCCCACTGGCCAGCTATCTATCTCCTATCTTCTGCAACCAATTGCATGTTTGGCAGTAATATGATGAAGTCAATCTTAAGAAGACAGAGGTTGGCCAACTGAAAATGGTATTAGGTTGAAAGATAGGAACTTCAAAGCTCAGAATGTCCTCTCTGTTCCTCTCTATTCTTGCATGTCTCTTATCACTCCATGCTGTAATGGTACTAGCCTCTACCAGGCTCCCCAGGTTGTTTGAAAAATAGTAGAAATTTGCCAAATGGACTGAATAGTATGCCAGAGGAGTTATTAAGCTAGTACAGAGAGTACAATTTGCAACCTAGGGTGGCAAAGTAGGTTACAATGCATGGGTGGCAAAGTGTACTCCTCTGGCCCTCTAACTCCTCTGGCATATTAATCATCAGTATTTGGCATTCTACCACATGTATTTTCTAGTTAACCCATTACAGTCTGGTAGAGACTAGACTGCCAGTGACAAGTTAAACTTGAAGGTTTACCCTCCTCCTGAGTTCTGCTAAAAGTAGAGCCAAATTGAACACAAATTTGGTACCTGGATAGTGCTTTCAATAGGGAGAAGGTTGGTAATTATTTCTCCTTCAGAACTCCCTCCCAGGTTCATGTATCAACTGATTGTAAGATAACAAGCCTGCTGTGCTGACCTTGCCATCACCAGTACTTGTTATCTTCATCTTCTGCTTACGAAGTCAAGGTCACGCCCTACTAGTATATCAGAGACACTCGAGTCTTCTTTGACTTGCCTTCAGTACAAACAAGAAAGATTGCCAAGAAAGGTAATCTCCAAGCAGAATTCCCTTTTGGTGGCAAAACGACAGTATCAAATTGGCCAGGCAGTATCCATTAGCCACCGACGGGCTAATGGCTTGGTGGGGGTAGCGACAAAAACAAAAAAACGGCCATATATAAAAAGGTAACGATCATTCCCCCGCAACCTCTGCTTGGAGAGTACAAGAAAGGAATATTTATTACCTTTGCCAGGAGGTTATGTATTTGATAGCATTTGTGTGTGTATGTATGTATGTATGTATATGTACTATAACGTTACATATATGTGATTTAGCACTATAACTCAATAAGCTATGGATGGATTATCATCAAACTTGGTAGGTGGATAGGTCATGATGAGACCTGGAATTGATTAGATTTTGGGCTCTATGGTAGCTTTGATATCTTGTGATCTTGACATGCTAGGGTCACGAATTTTGGTTGGTAGATAGCTGTTGCGCTTGGTAGGAAGTGACACGAGTTTAGGCCCCTAGAAGCTTGTTATTGAACTGCAGGATCATTTGTTGAAAGATCTTTGAAGGAGGATAACTTTCATCTATCAGCTTTTTACCTGATGAAGATTGCTAAATAGTGGTCAAAAAGTCTTTAACTCTGCTTTATTCCTGTGTATTGATTAAACTAAGTTTATAAATATTATGTTTCAGGACGAGTGATCTTCATAAACATGAAAAGGAAATTGTTTGTGAAAACTCTCCCTTCAGTCTTGATTTTATCTATAATGATTTCACTTCCGCTCAGCATTGGTACCATTATCATGAGTAGAATTCTTCTCTGAAGCTCAATTCCCAGGATACGTGACATCATATTGATCTCCATTGAAAGTGCAAGGCTGTGCACTTTGAAGATGTAATGCCTTGTAGATAAGATAATTATATAATGTAAAGGTCTGTTGGGGTTGTACATGCATACATGTAGAAGGTCAGGCCACACCAATTTGATTTGTTGGTTTGTGGATCTTAAAAATTAATGCATAACTAGAAATTCAACATGATCGATGAAAACAGACTCTGATTTTTCAGATTGAGGTGAATATTATCATATTCAACTTTTTTTTATGGTTGATTTTTGCTTCAGAATGTTTTAAAAACGGGCTTGCCTGAATATAGAGTAACCACTTTCTTATACATTTTTTATGTCAATGAATATCTTGAGCCAAAAATGAAACTGTCTACAGCTACTGTGTCAAAAGACACAAAATGTCTGTGCTTTAGCCTGGTCAATGACCTGTAGATAATATGCAATAGAAAAGGGATTACACTGAAGTATGCAATCAAGTCTCTTTGTGTTGTAATCCTTTGCTGACCACTGAGCAATACATTCCATCCACTGAGCAACGTATTCCATCCAGGGTTAACTCCCATCCGTGGTAAACTGGCCCCATGGGTTGTTCTGCTAGTCAAACTTCATGTAGAATGCTAATTGTAAGGTTCTGAGGAATAGCAAGAATGCACAAGTGAGACTTTGTTTTTTTTCATGCATAGCAACTTTTCCATGAAGGCATGCTGATTGGTAGAATAACAATAATAATAACAAGCTGGAAAAAAGGTTTGATTGAAATTTGGTAAATGCAGAAACTTTTGCAGTGGTTTTAGTTTAATAGTTTTTGCATTGACCTCTTACAATGAAATCATAGTCCCACAAATGTGATTTATACTGTTGTAATTTACCTCAGAACTGTTTCAACCTCAAGCTTTAACACACTGTGAAATCCTGCTTTTCCCTCCTACTGCAAAGTAAAACCACTGCAAAAGTTTCTACATTTACAGTAGATGGCATGTTTTTCTATCTTGCACTTTCACGGTAATATAGGACAAGACTTCAGAAGCTATAGTTGGTAGTCTTCTCTATGTTGTTGTTTCCTGTAGGTTTTCTGACGCGGCGCCTGAGTTAGCGCTGATCGTGCAGCTGAACCAGCTGAGTTCCCCCGTGCCTCTCCTCTGGGCGGTGGTGGACAACGGAGATATCTCCTTCTACAGCTTCACAGAGGCAGACCTGCCTACAGATTACCACATGTGATACACACATCGGCACCTGCGCAAAACCTGTAATGTAGTGTGCTTAGCTTATCTAAGGATAACATCCCGTCATGTGTGGAAAAGATATCGTCTGCAGCGGACAAAATTCTAATGCAACGTTGACCAAACATCCAACATGAAATATCCAGGTTTCACCCAGGAGCAGTACATTCTGCCAACGTGTTCATTTGATATCAATATGGCTCCAACTATATTCAAAACTACAATAAGTCATAAGATTTATGCACCACCTTAAGTTTTTGTGGTACTTAAACTTTTGTTAGAATGGCAGTAAAAAAGATATCAACTTCAGTATCCATAGGAACAAGCAGGCCAAAAAAGTTCAGGTGTAAACAGGATGCTTATTCTCTTCTACAAATCTATATTCTACAAATCAACATGTGGTGCTGCCAGGCTCTCAGTGTTGATGATGAAAAGAAGGACGTCAGTGATCACAGGTGGCCAGCCGAACACTTATCAACAGGATGTGGAGTTCATTAGTGAGCATGATCACCAGCAGGTTTAAAAATGGCACTGTTTGTCCCCAGAAGAAACGGAATCAGATATATCTCCGGTTGTCTCCCTACAACCACAGCTCACACAATGGTAGGAAATTAAAGAGTCCCAGGCCGTATTACAATCCACCGAGGCCATATTGTATAGTACAGGAGTGGAGATTTATATAAAGCAGTCCTACATGGATTGTGAGTGTTAGTTGTGTGAACACAGGAAGAAGGGAACAGCAGGTGGAAGATTAAGTGATTTGAAAGCTCCTGGGATGTCTATCAAGTGAGAATCTTCTTCAGCTGTGCACCACATTGTATGAAAATTTTTTATCAACAAGTCATTAAATTTTATGAATGATTTGGATCTAAATCAGAATTGGAATAAGAATTATCCTTTACAGTGTATATCAAGACCATGATACCACCATGTCTTGTTTCATCTCTTTTAAGATTTTTTTTCTTTGAAAACATGTTTTCTTGTAGACTGTCTTTGATGTGCTCACGTGTGATCATTATTCTCTCGCCTACGGGTGACATTTGCTACAAGACAGAAGTGGTCCCACTCACAAATGTTATACTGTGATTCCACGTGTTCTGACTTTCACATGACTGACGACTCATCTATATATAGCTATGGACACATCCACCCCAGCCTGAGGTACACTAACTGAAATACAGTATTATATGTGTTGGTCACGCATCCTTCAGTTAGGAAAAGATGAGACCATTCAGTTAGTGGTAAAAATTATGACCACATTGGATTTAGTAACTAGCCGCAGGCATCTCTTCAAATGCTATATTCAGAATACCTAAAGGGCATTCCCTATCCTACCTTTGCTATCTTCAGGTATCCTGGGTGACATATCCATTTCTTATAAATTCTATATTCAGAACACTCAAAGGGTATTCAAATACCCAAAGGGTATTCTCTTTCCTACCAGATAACCTGGGTGACATGTATATTTGTTAGCGTTGGTTGCTAACTCTACATGCCCAAATGGAAACTATTCCAGGATGGCGACCATGTTATAGCAGTTTGGCAGAACTGGATCAGGTTTAGATATTTGAAATGTATATGTATTACAGGTAAAATGCTGTCTTCTCGCTTTGGATTTTCCCTTCTCCAGTATCTTTGGATGATGCACCAGACAGAATAAGTGCCACATCCTTTCAGGTGTGGAAAATGTCTGGAAGGCCACTTTTTAAACAGCCCAGGGCGCGGTGGCTAAAAGTCCAGAAAATAACGCGTTCAGCACCAAGGACAGAGCAATATGGTGAACGCGCATCCGGAAAAATAACCGATTCCTGAAAACGTAAATTGTCATGAAAATAAACTAAATTGCACAGATACTCCCATCTTTAAATACTATCACGAGGATTCAAACAGATACTATCCTCAAGGCTGATATTTTCAATAAACATACAATCTTCATTTTGTCATTATCGAGCGCTGAACAATCTACTGCAACATCCACGTCTGAAGAGCTATTCAAAGTTGACATGAAAATCTCTTCAGACCATCATCTTGCCTACACCGTCCTGAATTGACAGTAATATTCAGAAGGCCGGTTTAGTAAATGTTTTCACCGCTTATCTCAAGGCAGCACGACGCCTAGGAAATGCACGGGATCGATCCCGGCTGGCCCGGCCGTCAGCACCCGATGACGAATTAAACGGAGCCTCATCAGCAATGCTGAATGAGCCGGCTTTGGAACGATGCTTGTCGCCTAAGGCCGTCCTGCCAAAAATGGAACACACAAGTGAATACAGTTTCACATAATGGTAGGAGTTCAATGTTTATGGCCTGTCATGTAATTAGAATTAGGAGCATCACAATCCCCAGTATTTTTTTTACTGTAAATAAAAATTGTTTAGAAGCAGTTTGGGGAATTTACTACAGGCTAGTTAGTGATTTCCATCGACCTGGGAGCGAAGGAGAAAGCCGTCGGAAACAGTAATCAGGTCTTCTGGGAACGTCCTAATTGGATAGGTGTTTGGGGCAAGTCTTTCATTCCCTTCACAGACTATGTGCAGTGATGTCGGTTTCAATCACTATACGTTCAGAGATATAGTCATAGTAAAGAAGGCTCCCGGACGCTGTTTAGATTTATTTTTAAAAGGAGATGTTGTATCCGCATTATTGTGTTTACCTTCACAGAAGGAAAACATGTTGTTTTTGCTCTGTTTCTTCTTCTCCAAACAAATAAGGTCAGTGACCTGAACCAGTCACCATGGTAACTAGAGTTGGGTTACACCATGTTGCAATTTCATAGCAGGAGAGATTTAGACTCCGGATCCTTTCATCATATATATGATTATATTTGAGTAACAGAGCAGACCATATGCGAAGGTAAACATTATGCATTTGCTAAATGCAAATGTTATTCCTTTCTAGTTCTAAAAATTTATTTGTGCTCATATGTAGCCTGTCTGTCAACCTACACTTATTGTCAGTCGAATCTAAAAAAAAAACATTGATTGTTTCACCTTTTCGTGCTTTCTTAACCTTCAGCTGCATCTAAAAGTAGATGTTATTGCGAGATTGTATGGACTGTTGCTATTTTTGGTACCAGACCAAATCGATTTCGGGACGTGCCAGGTCGAGTCGTAGAGACGTGTACGTGAACAGGTATGCAGACATGTTCGTGACAAGGCTAGGTGATGTTTTCAGGAGAATTGTGCCGTCTTTAATCCGTCTACTCTCTGAGTATGGCAACTACGATAGTTTCCTTATAAATATGGTCTTTTGAACCCGATTAGTATATGTACGTCTATTCAGGAAATACACTTTGCTTGATATATGAACACGTCAAAGCCTTTTCACTTGACAAGTTTGAGACGTGTGTGGGGCACATCTACCCGCCAGCCGAGACAACCTATTTTGTGTGAGAATGGGGTAGTTGATCTATCCTGATATCGGTCCTGGCAACATAATCGTAGGCACAGACGACTGGAAAAAATCTCATCCACATCGGTGGGATGTATTCACAACTCCCCATCTATCTAATGTCGTCATTTGTCATGCATGGAGCGTCACGTTTTCCCCCGGATTCAATCTGCGTGAGAAGGGCCCCCGTCTGCACAGAAGATGAAATTGGATCTATTTTTAGCGCTGATCTTCCCGCTGTCGATGATTAACCATCATCACGTTCACTTCCCCGTATCGATCCGCGCTGAGGTTGAACCGGCCTGGCGGTGACGGTAAAAGTATAAGAAGGGAAGAAGAGTGCCCCTGGCCGGCAGAAAGCACCATCTGTCATAACATTAAGCGCGTGGTCACGACTTTCCCTGTGCCACTCAGGCTTTTGTAGTATGTCTTTGATATATATATGTATCCTCACTCGTATTCATTATACACGCCGTGTCGGGACTTCCAAAAAGAAAGTTTGAAACAAAGTTGCTTACTGTCTGTTGAAACGATGAGTCGCAGCAGAATAGCTTGTTAGATAAGGCAAGGATTGACAAGGGAAGCAAATAAAGTTGCGGATATTGGACACATGAATTGTTTAATCAAAATTCACAAGATTGATTTTTTTTATAGAAATACTAAAGTAGTACTTAAAGATTGTACATCGATGAAAGACATCCATGTAATGAGATACACAAGGATTACATTACATTGTTACTCAAGCAACTAGTTAGATTTTGAAAATTGCCAGGCGTTTTAAGTAGCATCCACTACTTTCCATCAATGACTCACGTAATATCTTGTTAAAACTATTAATCGATATATAAACAAGACTTAGACAATTTTAGGCAGTCCACAGGGTGCTTCGAGCTTGTATGTGGTTTTATATCTTAATATCAAAAGAATGTGAAAGTGTAACGGCAGTTGATGTTAACGACCTGGGGGGCATTCACACCGTAGTGCCCATTACATGTTACGCCATTGCCGTTTCAACAGGTCTATGCCTTTGCCAAGGCCCCTTCAAGGCAGCAGCACCGGGGCACTAAGTGTGTTTTTCCGCGGTCTCCATCCTTTTTAGTTCTTAACCTTTGCCTGGTTATAAAACAGTCTTTTTACCTGAGTCCCACAGCGTGCATGCTGGATAAGGGTCGATCTTTAGTCCTGTTCACGCATATATGGAATACCATCTCACAGCTGCATGCTTGTGGAAATGCCTTGCAGTGAAAATTACAGTCTCTTTCACTGATTTTATGATTGCCCACATTCTCACTTCAAAAGGGTGGGCCAAGCCATCGGTCGTATACAAGCGGAACTAATGAAAATGTCTGTCCCTTTATCTGATTTCTTAATTGCTACATTCATGACTTCAAAAGGGGTCGAGGCCGTAGCTCTTATACAAACGGAGCTATGTGGTTATTAAGCGGTACTATGTGTTGACTGACAGCACCTTTTTATCAAAGTATTTCGTGCAGATGGATTTTATTCCGTTTCTATAGCAGCGACAAAACAAACTTAATGATCTAAATACCAGATTTGATTGCATTTCTACGGTCATTGTATTATATACATGTACCATAAGAGCTGATCTTACAAAACAAAAATAATTTAAATTCTTAATTTTTGAATGTAGAAACTAGTAAGTTACAAAACTGAATTGGCCATTGTTTCATTGTGTGTACCATAACTTCTTTAACAGAGAAAAAGAAAAATCGTGTGGGATACGAAGTATAGCTTCCGTGCCTTGATGATGAATAGGACTAGCGACAAGCATATGGAATTAATGCTTATATGATGCACGCCACAGAAAATAATAACTCACGGGAAATAATCATAGCAAGGTAGTCATTAGTCTGACTACTGGCACGTTTCACTGAATAGAATAAGCTACTAGATCAGCAATCTTTACCAACAGACTGTGTAAATCACCAAAATAAGAGAGCATCATACAACCTGCTCTTCTGCACCTTTAGGTTTTGATATGATCATCTTTAGTTCTTAAGGCCACAGCAATTGACTTTTATGGATGACATCAGCGCGCACATGAATTTTCGACTGATTTTGGGAACAAAAGCAAGAAATTTTGTTGCCTTTTAAAAGTGGTCAACATGGCGAAAATGGGCAAGATGTCTGTTGCCATGCCAGAATGTGGATGGCAGATAAATATGAAGATGCATTTCATTCCTTTTATATGTCCTGTTCACTGAATTAAAACCATTTGTACAATATCGTATTAGATTTGGAGTCTGTGGAGGATGCCATCCATAAAATGTACTTGGTAATCGACGAACAGCGGCGGTTTGGTTGAGAAATCGGCCACACACACACACATAGACGTAACAGCAAGTAAAAGCTTGGACACTTGCCGGTTTGCATGATTTCGGGTCTCTCGCCCTTCAATGATGTAGACTGACAGATACTGCCGTGTTGGCACATGTTCTGTTTCCTCGGCAATCCAGGCCATTTTGTCGCGACCACACCGGCGGGCTGACCCTGGGTGATATCCATCTCTACATCTGCCATACCTGACCTTTCACGGCTCTCACTTGTCATTTGTGTTTAGCATCAGCTCAGATATTGTTGAACTAAGTAGTGTGAGGACAGATGTATCCGTGTCCCTGACAGAATGGGGGCGTCCTTTCCATTATAGCAGATCAGTTAGTTTTCAGTCGATAGTGATCCATATTATACAAGTACTGACCTACTTTAACAACTATGTGGAAGAAAGGCATAGGAACCAAAATGACGAAAGGCAAAAGATTGGGCTCGTCACTTGTTTTCTCCTTGGCAGTACCATTTAACTACCATATCTGTGCCCAGAAAATTATTCCATTTCAGGCCCTGGGATAGCTAGCCTGGTTATCAGTCTCCACAGGCAACTTCCGGGTGTTTTACTGGCCCCAGTCCTCCTATTAGCACCGCAGAGATACGGGCGAGCCTACGATGGTCTGACTACGAGGCTAGCCGGAGGGGGCCACAAATGTCTGCGCAAAAATTTCTATCAGTTTCACAAGAACTTTCCTGAAGATTTCATACCTTCACGGAGTAATAGGGTCAGCCGTATCAGATGTATGCCAGCAGATCCATGCCAGTATTCACTCATCGCTAGGTCACGCCCTTGAGAGTTTTGGATAGGATATGGAGTTTGTAGGACGGATGTTTCTCGTCAGCCGGAAGACACAGACGAGGCGGACATTTCCTTGGATCTGTAACTAGTTTAATTTCATGCCTTTGTAGCACGTTATTTTACTACCTTATCTGATTACACCAGAATGTCAAGGTGATATAACAGTTACCGTTACGTAGTAAAGCCTATACTAATGGTACGGCATGTAGTATTTGCACAATGAAATAATTTGAAAAGTTTATTTTAACAGATTTCACCGTTACATTCATCTTATGTCTTCCTTCGTACAAGTTACTTTTTCCTTCTTGGAACTGTATATGTATAATCGAGACATTTCCTGGTCTTAGGCATGAATACATTTAAATAAGCGAGGTGTAACGTAGCCGATTTGCACAGGTATAGCTACTAGAAAAAGCGTCATGTTTTATCTCAACACCTCACCTGACAAACAACAACAAGGCATGGCAAATCCTCCGATCGAGTAATTCCAACAACCCGGCGTAACTCGTGTGTTCTACTCAATCGATTGTACTGTAACTGGTAATGTATCTGGAGAGTGTACATTTTTCGGTTCAAGTGCATCTGATGTAAATGTAAGTAACGTGAGGACTTTTCCATACTTGTCGATCTGAATGAAAGCCTGGATGATGCCTTATGGGTGGAGAAGGAGAAGGGCCCTATGGGTTAGCCTGAGTGTCAGCCTTTAAAATTAGCTTTCGTCGAAAACTAAAAAGGCTCACACCCAGGCTACCTATGTGGACAATTAAGTCACTAAAATTAAGATTATACACTCAGAGAACATACACACATACGTGCACACACACGCACACGCGCACGCACACACACAAACGCACACAGTGACACACGTAAATATTCACGCGTACATACATGTTACCTCCCATCCATAAAGAGGATTTGCCTGTGAAAAACCGAGCCAGAGTGAGAGATGATCTACCTGTGAAATTCAAATTAACACCAGATGGCCGTTTCTATACGCTGCAGGCATGTCTGTCGGCTGGCCTTTACAGTCAGCCTCTCATCTACACCCACGCAAGTATTTTTGCCTCCAGGTAGCCACCAAAACACGCCCGGCTTGCCAAAACTCTCAGAGAATCATATTATAACAACCGCTCACAGGGAAACATCAGCAGGCAAAGGGTGTCTTTCAAGTCTTTGCGATTTGCGATTTGATATTATGCTCGGCTATGGGCTGACCGATTCTTTTGAAAACACAACCCCTGACATATCTCTCGTTCGTGCAAGCATTTTTAAAATGATACTCGTAAACAGATATAACTTTCTAGAATTTCTTCTGCATGTGGTGAACTAGTCTTTTTCATCTTGTGTTGTAAGGGTATATGTGTGTAAGTTGTGAAAGCTATTACCATGTTTGTCTTGTGGCAATCTCTCTTTAAGCCATACCTTGCGGGATCAGTGCTTGAAGTATCAAAGCTTTCATCCCACTTCAAAAGGCTGTGTGGAATCAGGAGACCTTTTTTTACATTTCCAAGTACCGTTTGGTTAACCACCTGTCGGGATTTCTTTCAGATTATATTTCCATTAGCCCACGGCGCCATTTTGTCGGTCTTTGTATAGCTGGGGGAAAAAACAAAAAAGTGGATAGACAAAAAGTTGGATTTCACACGGTTGGCAAGAGAATATGAGCTATTGTGATCTTCACAATGCAAAAACTCCTCAAGTGTCAACCATGGCGATTTATATAAAAAACTAACTTCTTTCCTTTAATGTATACAACTTTTCATGCATTGCCTGTAATATATAGATACTGGTAACTAATACAATGTCTGCCTCAGACGAGTCTATTTTGAGGGTTTAATTTCCGCACCATGAACAGCCGTGTCCCACATGTTATCCCCTGATCAGTCGCCCGGATCATCCAAGCTCCCTCGAAGCTTCCTGTAGCTAAATATAGAACAGCCGCGACCTATTGCTCTTTCCCGAAGCTATTTTTGGAAGATTGATCCGACACCTTCGCTCCAGAACGTTCCTGGGGCAGCAAGTTACTCATTCAGGCCAAACCTCATCGGGATTCCGCGGGGCACAGGAACCGGGCGGGAGGCATGTGGCTCGCCGCAGGTGTTTATCAAACAGCACGATAAGTATTCTACAGAGCCCCACGGTCTGAGTCAAGTACATTTCCCTCCCGTATACATTCATCATTGCCTATTTTCCCTCCTATTGATGTCTACGCGTTGGAAATTTCTAATTTTATCCGTTGTTTGCAAAAAAAGTTGTTTTGAATGGTCCACATCTTCAAAAGTTATATAACGGCCTGACTGACAAGCCTGTGCTGATTCGCCCTCTGGGTCAGCGCTCTTTGCCTATCTCTTCCTGTCAGGTGCTTGTCACCGACTGCATTCTAAGAAAAGCAGCCACGAAGAACAACAAACGGTTTGGAGACAGTTATCAGGGCCAGTACATGATTTATGGATACACGGCATGGGTCCACGATCCGTAGGTATCATGTTACGTTACTGTTCAAGGGCAACAGCCAAAGGCAATATACGACTAGACACGCAGGCATCCCCGGGGGTTACCTCTGTGTGCTAAACGGTATTTTGAAGACGTGGTGTTTCGCACGTAGGTACAGGACACACGGGGTGTGATCCATCACTCTAGATCATGTAGTTACATCTATCAAATTATCTCCCTCGATCATAAGAAAGTTTACGTTTTCTACGTCAGTGAAGTTATCAGCCACGATCACTGGGACAAGCATCACTATGGAGGATGTGGCAATACAGCAAGGTGCCCCCTCCTCCCAGATTTCCTGCCAGTAAATACTGTCTGAGGCTACAGATATGTCAGGAGGTCATAGATCTTTAAATGACCTATCTAAAAGGGGACCATTTCTTTTACGACACTGAAAGTACAGCCTGAAAGTTATTGAGTAGTTTACGCGTGGCATGCCGGCAGCTCAATCAGAATGTAACCACATGACACCCGACTGCCAGTTATGATTAAAGTGCTCTACAAAAGATTACAGTTTTTCTCGTCAACTCTTGCTTAAGCTTGCACCGTCCCGTTTGGGCTTGCAGCGATGGATTTGTTTCAGTTCGCCGTAATCATACTTCAACCCGCTGACTTGCCACTATCGCTTCAGGCATCAAATTAATCATATTTACTTCTCGATGAAGAAACAGCGGGCAGCCCTGGCGTGATTAAACGATGTACCTGAAATAGCCTGGCGGCTTCCCGTGCCACGTAGTAGTGTGACAAATCTAAACGCTACCTGAATAACATAACAGGTGGCTGAATATTTCTACATTAAAAAAAATTAAAGAACAAACACGAAAATAATAAAACACGGAAAGTTACGGCCTAAAAGCAGCTATCATATGGTAACTTTAAATCTTCATTTTTCATTCGCGTTAAAACATTGTGGGCGTTTATTTTTCGACATTTCTTTCAATTTTATAAACAGTAGGTGAGCTACTAGATATTCTATCTAGAAACTGCCACGAACCACAGATCCACATAGAAAATACACCATCTTTTATTGCCGAATACTGTACACCGGATACGGAGAGTTCATGACGGTTACTCGTCTTTTTACGAACGATGTAAATATAAGAAAATATTGCACACTTCGAGATACATTTACATTGCTTCACAAAGAAACGGTCTGTCACTCAAAAGCTACTACTGATCTTAGTACGATGAAAACAGCATACTCTGTCACAATGGCACGCGACTCATCGATTCCATAACAGAACAACCAATTTTGTATTACTAATGTACTAGATCGTCTCTGCGATAGATTTACCACAAACCATTTTGTACGTCGTCATTATTACACGTTCCTATTTCTAAAATAATCTAACAACTGACTGATCGGACTTAAAGACAAAAATTACAAACCTATTCGCGCATGTGTACATATAACATAAGATGAGTATCTACAGATAAATAGTCACAGAGTTCGTCTTCTAGATCCATCTGTTTTCTTACAGAACATATTTAACAAATTAACATGTACCTCCATAAGGGTTACGACTTCATATACTAGCTAGATAAGAACTGATACAGTATCAAATCACCGTAACAACAATGGCACATGTAGGCACTGTCATCTGATTAGGGTCACAGAAACGATAGCAGATTGATAGCTACGATATTTACTTTCAGATCACAAGTCCTTTTGTCAAGAGCGACCCGGGAATACAAATTTACAAAAAGCGACTTCTATATAAAGTACAAATTGTCTACTGCCAAAGTGTTTGATTGCACGTCTGTTACTGCATGGCAAATGTCACAAAGTGAAGTGACCTTTCTTCATAACACCTGTGTCACTTCAAATAGGCAATCTTGTCTTGTAGGTTCCACCATTTTTCTCTTATGTTTATTCTATATGGCTAGCTCCTAGGCTTCTCCAACTTACTCTTAATCATTGTCTGGCAGCTGGAGACGTTTGTCTGGTCAGCAAGTTCTGGAACGATATATCTTTTTCCGATCATGACAACTAGTATATAATTTCATAATCACAATTATACAATGATGTTTAAGATTCAGACTGAATGAAATAGACAAAATGTACAAATGATTTCCCTTGCAAAATCACCTTTGGTCACAGTAAAACACGAGACTCCTATGGCACCTAATGATAAGGAAGGTAGCAATAGTCAACGTGTATATTTCTGATTTATTTTCCTCTGTATGTCAGATTATACCCTTACATACAGGGTTTTCTCCATAAACTCAACCTATCTCGACGAAATCAACATTATACACGTATTATTCCCGTATTTCTTAGTATAATAGCTTCGTAAGACAAGTTAACTACATCATCTGGCAGCATGGTCCCTTCGTAAGTTCTGTTCATACAGCCACCGCATTCCCTGCAATGGCTTTTTAAAATTGATGAGTCATGATCTCTGACTATCTGCTTCATTAACATGGCGAAGAGCGCTCGCCGCGGCACTGAGCTATCTTAGCAGCCACACGCGCACACGAAGTCCCTGGCGGCGGCGCGGAACGACGTGTTTCTGAGCGAGTAGACGACCGGGTTGGCGGCGGAGTTGACGAAGACCATGAGGACGGTGATGGCGCGGGTGGACGGTCCGACCAGCTCCGGCGCGAAGCTGCGCACGAACGTGACGATGATGAACGGGGTCCACAGAACCATGAACATCCCCAGGATGATCAGCAGCGTCACAACCGTCTTGTTCTCTGTGGCCTGCTTCTGGTACGAACTGAGGGGACAAAAAGTAGAACAAAATCTCAATATTCATATGTCAACTCAGTATCTACATCAGGGCACGCCAACCTTCTATCAACCGACTTCCTACTTCCAATGAATTTGGAGCCAGTGCTGATGACAAAAATTACATGTCTACAGCACTTGGGTCCGATAGCTAATGAAGACCAAGAGATACGGTTGAAAATTCAGTCGAAAATTCTTTTGAGTTAGGCAACAGTTTATTTCTCATCAGTCAATATTTATTGCCTATCCATGACAACTATAGCGTGGCCACAACATTCACACTATGTCACGACAGGGATTCAACAGATATGACACGTGTGAAAATTTGACTGTTGACTACATATTCTCCAAGGATATCAAATGATAAAACACTATTCTAGGTAAAACCCAAGTTACATTAGAGTAGTCACATGCCATATATGTATCGTGCTTCAATGTTTGCTAGTCCTTTTCCTGTTATTTGCAATTAGCCCTCGGGCAAGACTTTGCAATAGAACTTATATTGTTATTGTAGATAATCCCCACCTCTAATTCAGTTCACAGTCGAGCGCTATACCTTTTGTGTGATCTCTCGCAGCTTCAATGACCTACGAGTTACATATCTCATTCCCTGGTAACAATTGAATGGGCCCTTGGGTGTGTATGAATAACTCTTACCTAGACCAGTTTCATTACAGAGAAGTAACCATAACTTATAGTTTACGATGCAATCCCCAAGTGCGTGTACCTGACTCTGATGCATACATGTAGTAGTAAAACAGTAATGCAATATAACGCTAAATATCAAGATCGTATTTTCCCCTTCTGTCTCCTGGGGACAAAGCTATTTGAAGGGCATGTAGAAAGTTCTCGTGTGTTCTTATTGCCTTCTGTCCATGACTTTGAGAACTATGTTGCCGTCATTCGAGCGTCACAACTCCCATTGCAGTACCGGGGACGGCACCACTGGGACGGCACCGCTCCAAAAGCAACACCCCAGCTAATGCTGCCACAACCGCGGGTGACTGCACAGATAGATAAAACACCACTCAGTATGCGTGGGGCCAATGGCCGTATATATCTAACTAACCGAGGACACCCAATACCCCTTATCTACATTTCAATGCAATAACTACAGTCCAGGATTTCGCAGAACCCATTAGGATGCGGTCAGGTGAAAGGTCACGTCCCCGGCCGCCATTTTTGTTATAACTGTAACACTGGACGTAACAAGTGTCTATTTCGGTACATGTACATCGATCAAACACAGAATCCACAGAGCTGTTTGGATCAAACGAGATGTAAACGTCTAGCTCGGGATATGTTGTGACTGCCTCCCAGAAGATAACAAATGTATACCAAGCTCTTTAAAGCCTCTGGCGGAAGTAAGTCTGATGCGGACATAAGACCTTTACCAGCCCCAGATGTCGCGGCTTGTGGAGACGACTTTAATGACAAAGCGATAAGCGTCATAGGGGCTTTTGTAACTTAGTTGCGTGACGCCTTAGAAGGCTTAGTTGTGCGCCCCAGAGAATCAAATCTGTTTACCCTAGAATACAGTCATTTATTACCTTAAGCCTTCCTTAGGTCGAAAATAAGCTGGAGAAAAATCGAATAAAAAGGCACGCTTATTCTTGAGAATTATCAATGATTTTATAGTCTTCATGTGGGGCCAAGCGCAGGCTGCATCCTGGGCTGAAAGCCCTGTCGGGCCTTTAATTAAACATACTTGAATCGCGTACTTCAGCTTTGCAAATTCAATTTTGCAGGCCATAAGAAACAATTTCCTGGCTGCCTTTTGTCTAGCTAGCAAAAAAGCAGGAATGACTGCTGTATAAAAGCCGGCTGCATGTCTTTTAACTTCAAAGAACGCAGCAGATTGGCAACAGCCCGCCAGCATGCATGTAGCAAAGCTTTGTACTGTATACCCCTATGGATGGGATGGTATATTTATAGCAGCAGCAGGCAGAGATCTGAAACCAGAATAATATAAAGTGCACAAATCATGCAGCGGTTTAGAGTACTGCTGAGACAAATGTTTCTGACATCTAAAAATCATCTGGAATATGTGAATCGACGTGACTTCTACCTCACCATCTGACAGTACTTGCCCGCTTATGCTCGGTGGGCTGTCTCTAGAAATCAGTAATTACTTTGAAACATCGCGTCTCCAAGGACATACATATGTATGCAGAGAGAGTGCAGTTCATGAACCCCAGAGAACGTTATTGGCTCCATTATCTTGACTAAGACCATCTCATAGGAAACCTTGGATCTCCTGCGGACCGCGCACGGCAGCGGCGCCAGAATCGATCGACCATGAAAGCCTTCACGTCGAAATGAAGACGATTTTGGTGCGCGATTCTTGTAAAGACTTTCAGAGCGATTAAGCACAGTATGGCCATACATAACAAACCTGCTCGACCAGACAAAACTCATCCGAGTGGCTAGTCCTACAGGGCTCCTGCTAAATTTCCTTCTCGCTTGTAGTATTCTCTTGAAGCTTGCCCTGAGGTACAGGCGCCAAATTGCTTTCCTGTGACTTTTATCGTTTGAGCTGATCTGAGTATAGTCTGTTGGACAAATGATCGATGTACCTTTATGTAAGTTCACCAACTTCGCCTTGGTCAATGAACCTTCATGAGATCATCGAAGGACACTGAATGCTAGCTCGTGCAAACTACGTTTGGGAACAGGCGGCTACCTAAGAAATGGTCTGTTCTCCTTTTTCCTGATTTCGCTTTTGTTGTCATAGAAATACTGTCAATCTAAAAATCTCTACTAAAAAGAGGATTCTGCCATAAGGAGGAGGATCGACAAATGCAATGCATTGATCTAGTCTCCATCTAATTAAGCCACAGAACCTTTCTCCTTCGCTAGGTTATTGATATCCGTTCACGAAATAATAATCCCAACCCTCCAGCTGAAAGGAGAATGGATTTTTCTATTAGCTGCCTTCACTTGTTACTTTAACAATTGATCATGTATGCCATTATGATGCTGCTTCGTGTTAGTATAAGTGGAGTTGGAGCGGAGCACTTATGCTAAGCCATTTTCTTCAAATTAAGCCCCTTTTCATTCGCTATTACATCTCGATGATCGAGCCAGTAATGCACAATTCTCATATAATGATTATGTCCAATCCAAACGGGCTCCGTAGATTGAGTTGTGATAAAAGGCGCGACTATGGAAACATTTGTCTTAAATATAGTTCTATAATGAGAGCTCCCTACCAGTTTTCTCGTTACTATATTGGGAGTTTATTGTTAAAGATTTCATGACATTGTTTCCTTTCTTGAAGACACAACAATAACGTAAGTAACACCAGATTCAATACAGGGTCATGTTAACGGTTTAACTTGTTATATGTTTTACTGGGGTCGGGATATGTAATACTAGTACACTGTGCTGGCTCTCCGATGCGAATCATAGTTGGTTCTATGTATATCAGTATATATCCTGCTGCAGTATAAAAACAAGTCAAGTAATTGCAGTTAGTACTTATAGTTCCATCAAATGTACGTCTTTCAAACGCCACAAAATTTTTAAAATGTTACTTGTTCAATGAAAATTAGTATGGTATCGACATGAGGAATGGATAATCGTACTTGTGGGACATATTCTAGTTTCTGGACGACAAAGATATTCCAATCGAAATTCGAACGATGACCTTCCTACTCGTACAATCACATTTCGTGCCGTTATACACTCAAGTCTTCAGCTTCGTGATGTGGACTCATAAGTTGAAAGAGCGCTGGGGATTTCATACACCTCTTATTGGATTCCTAGGTTAGACCTTCGCACGTTTGTTTTTTACTTTCATTTTAGGCGTATGGCGTGGATCATAATCTTTACAAATATTTTTGCTGGTGTGGACTAAAGCACATGTCAATCACGTAGTAGTTTTGCCCAAATATGGCCGTCTCTGATTCCAGCCGTGCTTGTGATGTGTATGACGTGGTAGTGTCGTGGGCAGGTGACGCACAACCGGGCCCGGCTGCCGTGTTTCTCTTATCTTATGAAACGAGAAACCACCTGCCATTGTTTAGTTGTCTTTTGACTTTCTACGTATACGCTTTTGTAGATGTAACTCCATTTTGATTATTGACGTCGCTTGACTGTACAATCATGTGTGTTATTCAGCGTTTGTACTGAATGTGTATATTGAAAAAATATAACCTTCTTGGCATAAGTAATTTCTTAAAGAAAGGACGACCGCTTCTTTGCTATCAAAGCATCTTGTCTAAAGCTCCCTCTCTTGGGCCCCACTTAAGATCAAAAGCTACTCTGTATCGTTGCAACGTTAGGAATATAAGCATGTATAACCACACCGTGAATTTTAAACTGTGGCATTTCCATCCCCCAACGGTCACCTTCAGAACTGGCCAACATTCACCGCAGCTGCTGCTGCTGTGTTGATTCAATTTCCAACTACATTTCCTCGGCTGTTACGTAGCTTCGCGTTATTAGATACTAAAGCATATATTAGTGTCCAACAATTTATTGCCTTATTTACTGCCTCATTTTATGCCATTGTCGTAAGATTGATCTTTGTACACCGTGTAGTCGACAGTTTTGTCCTCTCGGCGCCTCTAAATTAGATGTTCCATTTCAAGGGTTTTACAATCAGGTTGACAAACAAAATCCCCACTACAAGTTTGACTTAGGTCGTATCTTGATCTATGGCTTTCGGGCTCAGTGATATGAAGGCGTAGCTTTTATCAATGGTGGAGTTTGATGGATAGTGGTGATTCCAGAATTTTCGGATCCATATCCTAACTCGGCTATTGTGATTAGGTTCTCTGTCATTGTGTTGGAACGAGTTTTCTGCGCGTGAAAAATACAAGTCCCTGAATTGAATATGTCAGGAAATACGCAGAAAATTCTTAATGAGATATCTTTTTTCCAAGTTTGAAGTTTAAAACAGCAACATTTTTTAATCTCTTGGGAATCAACTACTGAGTAATTTGCACATTTTCACGATTACGTTATGAAGTTTTTCCCGCACATAAACCCCCGATCCCATTCTGTTTTTGCTAGCATATTTTGATTCTGCTGTGGTTTTAAAAAATCGTGATACGTAAAGTAAATCCAGTTCGTGCTTTACATCCTATTGATTTGTACACATGTAGGACCATCGTATGACATTTTTGGGCTCATTTAGACCTAACGACATGTTGGATTGGATCGGTGCCTGAAGCGCCCATAAATCGCCTCCTCCATCCAAGTCAAGCCGCCGTCGTGCATCACCTGTTGGCGCCGACCTGTCCCCTGGCTGTCTGTGGCCGTGACTGTGTCCAGGCGGTCTGGTCTTCATCCCGCAAAACCCACCATTGATCTTGACCTAGCTGACCCCCCAACCCTCGAGGTCATCAACAGCCACCAACCTCATGTCACTATCCTGTGTAATGGCCTCCCCTTGATAGATAGGGAGATAACCTGATTATGATGGCGCTCCTAGCGGCCTTGACTTTGATTGCTCCCGATAGTGCCTTAAAAACAACAAGATTTGAATCTGTGGAACACACGCAGCTGAGCAGATAACATAGACGTCGCCGTTATAGGGTAAGATCAAGGTTTGTAGGTCCAAAGGGACCGGGAAAACGAGCCACAAGCTAAGGAAGACACTAGAGGCACTTTGTAAAACCACTATGGCCTTGTAAACTACAGTTGTATGGAGCTTTTGAAAGCATCTCCTTTATGAACTGTCCACAGAGGGTTGGGTATAAAGAGATGGTATAAAGACGACTTGCTTTTGGTTTGTTTGCCCTACGGAGTCGGCAACGTGACCCGCGGAGAATCGTTGATATCTGACGACCAGACAAATCTTTTGAATTCTGTACATCCTGGGTACATACGTACAGAGCGTCATCAACATTTATGTCAACTAGAATACAGAAATAAATGCAGCAATGTCAGGTGAAATGGACGGATGGATGGAAGAGCTACAATATGCGCCGAGCTATCACTAAGGTCATTGACGTTTATGTTATGAGTTTCTTGCATGCTAAGCCCTTGTTTTCGGGCCAACAGTATCTTCTGACGAAGGGCTTTGGTGATTCCCAGTGACGACTGTTCTGAGATAGACTATCTCCAGCAGTCTGCTTGTGCAAAGACTTATATAGAATATCCTCACATTACCTCCAGGCTTTCACTGGCGATAAGAGTATTAAGATATATTATGTATGTAAAATATAGATGGAATGCTTTGTGTTGCTCACATTGCTTTACCCTGGGCAGATTTTTCAAGGCAATAAGAGTATCGAAATGAGCTGCTGTGACTCAAGGCATTTAATCATGGACTGGAAGGAGCATACGTCATACAATTCAGCCTTTCTTGTCACTTACGTAGTAATCCTCGCGCCTTTTGCCTTTGAAGATTTTCAAAATTTCCTATATATAAAATTGAACTTTCACTGCAGCTGATCTACCAAACATTTTATCGACCTTCACTTCTACCTAATGCCTGACCGACTTTACTATTTAGTACATCTATGTGTATGTCCTAGTCAAAACATATTTGCCTGTAGTGTACTGGATATTTTTGTGGTCTTCCTTGCCGTTCTTATACCCCACCGGAAGTGTTATTTTATTCCGTGCCCGTGATTAATATGTCTGCGCCCGTATCGCTCCAGGAATATCTCCGCCTACATCGTGCCTCGCATACAGATTACACGAGCAAGGCCACAGTAAACACCCCCTGTGGCGATGTATAATTGTTAGATTTATTCCCAGACAGAGCATTCTAGTCGTAGACACATGACTCAAAGAAACCGGCATAATTTGTTATTCGGCACTTAAAAATTAAACCAGTGATGGTAATCGTAATGCTGTGTAGAGTGGTTTATAATTGCGGTGAAAGCAACCTCAATCAACCCGATTAATGAGGCAATCATTCTTTGTTCCCCTGGGAAAAATTTCCTATCGATCGATTTACTTTCCATATCTTTTATTAATTAAAAACAAAAGCCGCTGTGCTTTGGGGACGCTCCTTGAGTTACCAAGCTGGTATCCAGCAGTGTTTAGCTTTGCCAACCGGGTTAGCGATCTTAGTGAAGCGAGCAAAGTTGAACAAAGATGTGTAACATTTTCCACACTAGGTCCCTGCTGTGAGACATATGTTTTAATATAATTTTCAGCTTTGTTTGACACTAGTGTCAATCAGTCAAGCTAAAATAAATTGACCTACTTTCTGGCAGACTGGAATATGGAGTCACCCGAGACTACATTTAGGTCTAAATTTAGGTCTAAATTTCCACCCTATCATATTGATTAAGACATTGCTCACAGTGTTCTTATGGTGTTATCATTTCCAAATAAAGTAATGGGAAAAAAATCAATTACTTCATGGGTGGTAGATCTATACTATACCATACTCCTGACCATAAACCAACCAGCGCCCACATAAACGTAACCTCTATTGCAGAGATAAGAAAAGTTTATCAGATATATCAACAGTAGTGATTCAGCGTCTAGAAGGTAAAAACCCTGATTTTCACTTTATATGGATTTTGTGAAGATTAGCTATAAGAATCGACCGTCTTCTAAAACCACACCATCATAATCATCTGTCCCTTATCCTGGTTGGCCGTTGGGGCACCACAAATGCTCTGTTTCCGGAGGGTCTCACTAAGGCTAAGTAAGCCCTGTCCCTTCAAAACCATAACGTAGATTATACTCAAATACCATCTACACACCAGGATTCCAGCTATCACATTTAGATCCCGGAGGGGCCGTTTGCAAAGTTAATGCCGGGTATTTCGATCTTCTAAAGTAATAGAATGATCCGTGTAATGTACCGTCTCCAGGAGGTGGATAATGCATGTGTTTTGTTTCGCTCTGTTACTGTTATATCTGGGCCTAGAGCACACATCAAGGGTATCCCTGAAAAAACACCAGGTGGGGCAATATAAAGGGCGTAACATATGATCTTCTCTCTGAGAAGACGTATTAGAAAACCCATTCTGAGAAGCACCTCTTTTATTTGGATGAGAGCCGACTCTATTTAAGATGATGGGCTATAATGATGAGATGAGTGGCGTAGGGACGAACGCGTCTTGACAGAAAATTCTGTTCCAATTGAGAAAGTTATCAGTTCCCGAGGTGATAACAGTTAACAACGGTCATCAACCGTTCATTCCGTCATTACGATAATGGCCGTGGTTTCACGGTCTCATCCGAAGCATCAATGCTCCAGTGACCTTCCTGACACTCGTTTTATCGTGATTTATATCGTATAGTCGGAACAAATTAATGAAGGCAGTAATTTTGGTCAGAGGAGGTTATTACGGCCAGTATTGGTGACCTGTGGCCGCCCAATCAAACCGTCGATGCGTCAAACATGCGTCAATTGCAGATTCCTCCTGCGTGGAAACGTTCGGGCTAATTTTGGTCGCGAAAATATGACGTATTGGTATCTACGTGCCCCGCTACTACAATACATGTAACAGCCGACGCTGTGTTATTCTTCCCTAGTTAAACATTACGGTTTATTGTTTAGGCACGTTCTGCATATTGTCGGATGAAGAGAAAAATAAACAAATGTCCCACTTGTTTGCAATGCCGTCTCGGGGGACTGTAAACAATTAACCCGCAGGTTGAATATGGAATTTCCTGCGTCCATATTGACTGAGATATTAACCCTACGTTTACCTTGTACACACTCAACAAAGGTATGGTTGGAATAAAGAACCCGGGGCTTTACCTGTGCATGTGGGTCTGGGCAGCTCGCGGCAGAACGGACACTCCGTTGGCGCCGTTGCTCTGGACGGTGAAGTGTGCGGTGCCGTTGGTCGGGCGGCTCGGGCCGGCCACGGCTCCGTTCCCCTGCGCGCCGCCGTTGTTGGTGGCGAGGCTTCCTCGCGGGTTGTTGCGATCGGACTCCTTCAGGGAGGACGCGTGCGGGATGACCTTCTTGGAGCGGCGGCGGACGATGTGGAAAATGCGGTAGTATGTGATGCCCATGATACAAGACGGGAGGATATAGGCGGCTATGCTAACGAACACCAGGTTTGTGAGCGAGCGGGCCGAGGTGTCCCAGGTCGGCAGGCACACGAGATCTTCCCCGGAGGAAACATTGCCCCAGCCCGACACCACAGTCACGGCCACGGCGGCGGCATGGATCCAGCCGTACAGGAGCAGCTTCTTGGCACGGGCTCTGGCGATGTTTTCGGAGGCGCTTGGCTGGGACACTTTATAGTACCTGTTCAGTGAGATCATGCCCAGCGCCATGTTGGAGGAGGTGGTCAGGAACGTGAAGAGGAAACCTTCGATCTGACAGAAGACGTCTCCTAAGATCCAGCTGTCTCCGATCGTGGTGACCAGGGAGAACGGCATGACGAGCAGCGCCAACAGTCCGTCCGCCACCGCCAGCCAGAACACCAGCAGGTTCCCGGGCTTGCCGATGGTGTTAGGCCAGGTCTGCGCCAGTGTTCCCACCACGATGATGTTCCCGAGCGCCGCCCCGACGATCACCAGGAACAGCACGAAAGCCAGCGGGATGGACTGGGCGAGGGTGAAGCTGAGCCCTTCGGGCGGCGGCACGCTGCCGTTCCCGTGCACCGTGGTGTTCACCGCCGCTTCCATCATCTTCCCTCAGCCTCGCCTCCGAACAGGTGGTGATTACATGGCGCTTGTGCGGCTGCGTGCCCGCTAATTTTTCGGAAAACGACGCTACATGACGACACTACGCCCTATCACTCACACCGCTAATAATCCTCACCGTTCCACTGTCAGGTAGAACTGAATCAGGCCAAAAGACGAGACAGGGAATGTTCGCATGTCCTACCGGCAGCGGCAGTCGGCTTGTTGTGGCGATGCAGGCGTTTTCAAATGGCGTTTACGTCAGGTCCGGTCGCCTAGCAACCTCCAGCCCAACACTTGCTTGAAACCATGGCAACCAAATCTCCGCTTCCGACTCACCTGCTCAGTGGACAATATACCGAGTAATTAGATCCATGCGGTGACTTCATTGGAATACGGTTTTAAGGTTTCTATTACCCTTTTGAGGACAAGTAAATCGGGTGGGATACGAGGCAACATTAAATATGGATTTTACTTCGATCTGGTCCAGAATTAAGCATCACATTTCGTCTATTCCCAGACCTTTTCATGCATGATATTTAAGATGTGAGCCTGCTGAGGGATATTTTACGTTTCTATATTTGGGTTGATGAATTGCTGCTGTCGTCGCTCTTTGCTAGCCGATTGGACCGCGGGTCAATCAACACCTTGATGGGACTGGCCGTCTGCAGGTCCGAAATCCCCCGGCACGTTTGTGCGCACGGAGGACCGCGCTGACACACTGGCCACTGATTACTTCCATCTGTCTTGCCTTGCTTGGCCACTGTTTCAAACTACTAGTACATTCGGGGCTATATCGTTACTGACTAGAGGGGGTGGACCTGTTGGAACGTTTGGCATGTTGATGAAACAGTAATTCTGAAAAACAGCGAAGAAAAAACACAAACATTGCAAGCATTAAAATGGACTAGCCCCTAGTCAATTTTCTGTCCTACACGCGACAAATTTCACTGTGACGCACCAGGCATTACTTTCTAATGTATCCCTTTTGCGTGTTTGACCAAAGCATTTAAAGAGATACACGCGCGCTGTTTTCCATTAGGGAGTACCATTAATAGGGTGCTGTCAAGTATCGTTTTGTGTTCGACGTTACCCGTAACAATGCCCATTCATTTCCTATATATCAAAAGTTTCCGTGCCGGGTCAATATTGAGTAGGTATTCTTAAGCTATCAACAACAGGGTTAATCATTAATAGGGTGTAATATGCGAATTACCAGGTGGTCACAGGTCAATACCAATTGTTCTCCTCACCTGGTTTGGCTGTGACGCTGGGATCGTGATGCAGCGCCTCCCAGCGGAAGAAGAAACACTACAACATGATATTGACGATGTAATAACTGACTTGATCCAAATGTGACTTTCATTGATGTTCGTCACGTATGTGTCCCAAATTAACCTTTCACACCACATCAGTCATCGGCCCGTAATGGCTCAGCCAGTAAGAGGAGTTAATCCGGGTGGATTAAGACGGATTACAGATCCTGAGGGTGGCCCCTAATTCGCGCTAATGGCACTACTGAATAGAGTAATCTCCTCATGAAGAATGACATGGGTTAAACCTAAGGGGTTATTGCTATCTGTAAGACGCGGAGTGGTACAAAAACGGTCTTCATATAAGTGGCATAATGCGGTCTCAATTAGGACAGGGGCCACCTAACCAGATATAGAAAAAGTAGTAACTGGTTTGTCCGTTTATATGATGCTTGCTTGTGATATCGTACATGTAGTTGGAAATCTAGATGTGTTGTTCTAAAGTAATCTATAATCGCAAGTAAACTTCCTGCCACTGTACCATATCATTTGATGCTTTACTACTGTCAGTTGTATTACGGGGTTGTAGTCACGTGAATTACATTTATGATGTTTATAATCATTTGCTTCGAATTCATATGACATTATTTTCGCATGTTCTACATCTAACACAAACAGTTGTGACATGGTTTATCAAACCAGTGGCTCAAAAATGCCACCTTGCGAGTTTTAGTACAACAGCGATGGCAATATGGACTCCCTGTTAGGTTGGGAATATTACCACATTTAGACTAAGGAAAATGGTTATGTGGGACCAAACACTTTTTGGGCTCTTCTGTAATGGTTATTAATGGCATTGGGTTCTGGAAAGACCATTACCGATTGGGACATCAGTTCTGCCTGGTTCTCTATTTGTGGACGGCGCCGACAGTAAGTGCTTTTGCAATTGTCTGGCGATGGAATAATTTATAAAACATCCACTGGGCATTTTGTGCACGAAAGCTATGTGAGTAGAATTCATATTGCTAGATCTCAGAACAGTATTATAAAGTTCATAAAAGCAGTGGATTGACGTCTATCTCTGTTGACGGCAACACAAGTTAGGACACAATCCTAATCACCTGTAGTTAATAGATTACAGATGCCAAATAATACCAGAAATATTAAATAGTCTTATGTAATGAATACGAAATTGTTGCCAGATATATTTTAGGAAAAGTCACCAAATTTGACGGTTCTAGCGCAAGCCGTTCAGGCGCTATCTGAGATAAAACTGGCGCGGGCCTCACTCCCCCCCCCGCCGGTCTGAAAAGGGTTACAAAAAATGCCTTGTGAATCAGAAGCTGGAACTTGTTATCCTGTTATCCGCTTCTTCAACAGATGCTACCCTGGCGTCCTAAAGCAATATCAGCTGTCTTAGAAGCGCCAGTTACATACTAGTATACACCCAAGTCGGGGCTAATTTGAAAGCTATAAAACTACTGGTATAACATTAACAGGCGAGCCGGCTGCGCTATAGAACTGTGGCCTTCGGCGAGGTTGAACTTTAATGGACATATGGGTACCATCATTATGTCTTACATACAGTAGGCCCTGGGGCCCTACTGGGCCACTTTCTATGCATAGCAGTACGCTTGGTCAAGACCACAGGAACATGACATATGTTCGCCACACATCTGCTTGAAGATCCGTCCTGATGTAGACAATGTGCCAACATTCCCGTCTGTGACAGGACACGGTCTTACCGAGCCTCATGTTTGCACACGTCATGTTCACAGTGTACAGAAACAGGCTTAATGGAAGGGGCATTCCAGGGTGGGGTAAGACCGCAAACAAAACTTAAAAAAAAACGGAAATGAGAAAAAATACTCTTAGGCCTGTACACATGTGTATGAGACACAAATAAAAATGGGACCAGGGGATGAGTCAAACTGCGGTTTCCCCTGAATCGTTGACCTTTCCCCATGTCAACAATGAACCGCGCACCCACTAAAAACGGTCTTATCTTCATTACCGCCAAGTGTACACACTTGTAACTTGGTTGGAGTACTTTGCAAAATTTGCTGAGCGATTATGAAGTGCTCTACACACAGAGAATGTCTGGGGCAATAAATGATTTCAAAGTAATACCGCCGCACTGATAAGGAAGTTATCATTTTCAAAAAGTCAATCAAAATATGGGTGATTACTGATGATTTGTCAAAGTTCTAAAACTGAGTGTTTTTGGTGACTTAACTTATGAATAAAGTCAGACCTTAGGAACGCGCCTGCGTATCAACTGTGACCACCTCCACACTTCACGGTATGTAAATGTTTTGTACTCGACTGAGTAACAACCGACACTCTGCGTGGTAAACATAAATGGCATGAAGTTTTCTTTTGTGGACAGAACACAGTACAGCGTCCCACTCTCACACCCGCATCCTTCCGTGGTTAGTCTCGTATAAATGTACATTGTGCAGACACAGACCATGGGGATTGTAAGGGGGTGAAATGTTCTTTGTGTGTGCTAGCCTCTACCAGGCATCATAGGCGGCTGGCTGACTGAGCGGCAAACTGTACACTTTCAAACTCCTCTGGCGTATTACCTGTCTATTTGGTCAATTTCTACTCTTTTCAGACACCTCTGAAGCCTGGTATAGACTAGGTTTGTGCAATTTCTTCTGCTTTTTGTTGACAGCATCATGTGGCAGCATAGTTCTCAAATTTTCCGCCTCTATCCCACACACGAACTAACACTAACTATTCCTTTGTCCAACCTCCTCGTAAGTTTACCAGCGTGAACCCCATGCCAAGACAAGATTTAAAGAGGCAGACGTAACATTCTGAACAAATAGCTCCTACTGTAACATTCTGTGCCCGCAGCACGTACACACTCGCCATCTCCACAACACAGGCAATTTTATTTAGTGTAGAGCGTATTGAACTGGACGTGTTGACCGCTCTGGCTGATAAGAATGCCTGCTAGCTGCGTTCGTTCTAATCTATCTAAATGGCTGCACCAAATTTTCACAGAGCCATCTATAGATATGCAATATGGCCTGTTTTATTGGCATGGACATTTGCTGGAACTGACGCGCGCTTCAGAAAGACATGGTTCAAAATATAACGTAGATTTTTAAAAGAATTCGTGAGTTTTATTGAGAGGAAACGTATATTGATGAATATAACAGCATTTGTAGGCGTGACGGCGCGCTAAGTTTGATGCTGCCCACGCAGACTAGTTCAGGGGAGGTCGCGCTTCCCGAATTACTGGTGACGTCATGTTCGCCCGATGTTCGCGGCAGGCCGGGTAGTTCGGCAGCTCGGGCGCAGCCGGCAGACTCATTAACAGGTCAACATCTTATCCTCCTGTCTGCGCATGCGTTATCATCAGGTCACGGTGTGATGCTGATTTGGACTTGACTTGCAGCCAAATACGTACAGGTACAGTCATTTATATCTACGTCTCCGCATGCCATATGGGTAGAGATAATGCTCCATGGTTGTTGTAAGAATGACAGAAGCAGTGTTGCTCGTCATCATATGTTATGTTATGGATAAATTAGTGTAAGAAGGACAAGTTGTATATCAACATGCAGGTCCATAGGAATGTCCTATGGCGTCATCAGATTAGTCGGTGTGATTCCCCTGGACCCCCCTCCCCTCGTGGGAGAGCGCATCCACACGCACGTCAGTCGTGAACATGTAATGCCTTCGCGAACGTGACCTGACGAGGATATATCATTTGGTGTGGCTTAAGTCAAACCCTTGGTTTAACCACCAGGCGCAAGGGCAACGTTTATTTTCTTCCTCATGGCGAAAGAAAATGTATCGTAGAACATTCGCTATTGTCAACTCCCTGTCAATGCTGAAAATTATAGTTGCACAGTGACAGTTAACTTGACATTGGACGGATATACGCTTCTCTAGTCGCATATGTAGAGACTTTGGTGAACTGTGATAACCTCTTCCTCTTCTCTTTTTCTGTCATAATGCAAACGTATTCCACAATGTTTTAGTAAACAGAGGTGTTCTACTAGCCCCTTTAACCTTCGTCGCTGCGCTCAACAATGTAGACAATGTTGATGATAGGCGTTCACCGATTTCTGGGTCAGCACCTCAACATTTACACGAGGGCGTGGTAGTGAGTCAAGCAGACTGTGGTAACGTTACAGCATTGTTTACATCACTAGTGTACTTAGCCAAGGCAAATCCCACCTGTATAAAGAAAACGCTTATCGGTTAAGAAAATGTCTAAGTGTGAGGTGTAATGTAATATCTCGCCCACATACAGCACGTCTGTTGTTGTATCAGTGAGTAGGTCATGTTGACCTATCATGACAGAAAGTGTGGTTCAACAGGTTTGAAAGGTTTACGTGCAGCATGTGTTGTAGTTTGTATCGCCCGGGGGACAGAGGTGTCTTTGTCTAACGGTGGCACAGAACAAAATTCACATCCGCCGATTATAATCAGTCTGCTGATTCTCTAACACTCTGTGTTCGTACTCAGTCTGCCAACTAACACATCACATGTACGTGATTAATTTCTATCTAACAAATTGAGATGGTCTACAATGTATTTCTAAAATATCAACTGAGTTTGATTATTGTTATTATTGTTTTAGTGTACACATGGGTTAATTCTTGTCGTAGACAACTACACCATCATGAACCAGCAATCTCAACTGTACATGCATTGAATACTTATTCTATGACTATAAATCAAGTAGTATGTTATCATTGCAATATTGCTAGACCAGGGATAATATGCTTGAAAAGAATCGATGCTATTTGAAGGGGGTTTGGGTTTCATGTACAGGTATACATGTAACTCATTAATCATGTGGCAATAATTTGCGTTTTGAGTGTAACCGCCTGACGGCAATTAATTTTATCCCAATTAATCCTACACACTACATCATCCATGTGACGATGTTGTCACAGTGATAGTGTGGAAATAATTTGATGATAAATCATAGCATTTCTCCCAGTCACAATTAAGTATTTGTGGAACAGGTAAAAAATGATGTTGCGGTAGTTTGTGATTTGATGGTAGTAAATGATTGCGGTTCCCATTCTCTGTCGATCAGACTCGACATTATATTTTGTCAGTTTTGTCACTTCGCACAAAGGAGGGTAATATACACAATGTGATATGTAGGTGTGAACCTCGCGCTTTCTACGAACATGGGTATTTAGGCTTGTAATAAGGATACACTTCACTGCTAGAGGGGGGAGCTTACTGGGTTTAAGGTTATATTCTATACAGTCACTAGGGGGTTCGCACACAGATGCCGACTACATAAACGACACAACATGTTGTACCTGCTATAGTGCTACTGTTGACATCAGTGCGAGTGTTAATATCATTGCTATACAGAACAATTGCATTTCTGCACCTCACATCAGCAATACTAATGCATTTAACAACTGTCCAGTCAGATTAAAATCGACAGACGGCGAAATCATCATTCGTTACTAAAACTTATTCATTAGTATTCAATTCACAAAACGTGTATAGCTTATAAAAATCATTGGCATAATATCGGTCTGAAGGTATAATTCTGGAGAAGTCTATCATACGTCAAGACGCCACCATGCGTGAGATCTCTCGGCTTGAAGCTTTTAACGCCTCTTCAAGGAAGCGGTTCCTTATAGCGGCTTCCTGTGCAGACTTGGCAGCGTTCCTAAGACCGGTCATGGGGACGACATTCGTCAGACTCAACCCAGGAGGGCGGGAAAAGGCACATTGACACAGAAACTGTAGAACTTTGGTCGCAGCACGTTTGTTGAGTCAGCTGAGCCGACCCCAAACGTTGTATGTATGTTGTTGGGCCACGGTGCTGGGAACGAGGGACCGACCTGGGAGGTTTGGTGCGTGTGTGCGAAACCTTGGGAACTGTGCACTTCGGAAGGTTAGAGGTAAATCCACTTGCAGAAGAAATGAAGCAGATTGTCGTGAAAAAAAAACGATAAAAGGAAAATACTGCCACACACACACACATCGCAATCCTTCTTGCTTCTTCTGGTTCGTTAAATTTCTAACTACAATAGCACACGGTATCAGCAGTCAGCAGAAGCACAGGCACACAGGTTAGTTCATTCGCCTAGTCACCTCCTTACAATCGTCGATCGTCAAGTTAAACCTTCTTATCTTTGTTGCTATGGTGATGACGCGAACAGGGCTCTCTTTTGATCCTCACTTCGCCTCGTCAAATCTGACCTTCAGGGATTGGGGATTGCATTTCAGCCCAGAAAGATAAGGGATGTACAGGGACGACTTGCAAATTTGACAGACGACACTGAATGTACATGTGGTATCTAAAGCCCCAAGAGTAGATATGCGATATTTAACGCTTCAGACATTGCAGTTGTCTCTTAACAAGTTAATGCTTTATTCTGTTGCCTGTTTTCTATGAAAAGCTTGGCATCCTACATCGACAGTGACGATCTTGAGGTCACATGTACAGTCCAGGCCTGTAACAGGTTTGGCACGATGTGATAGATATGCAGTCACAGTGTATGTTTGTTTATATGTCATATCTTGCGGGTATGTGCTAATGGTCTTAATGTGTAGAGGCATAAGTCACCAATCGCACTATCCAAGCCAATCAAGGGCCTCTGTTGGAAATAATGAAATTTCGTAGAGATAAACTACTTTATGTCAACTTGGATCCATGTTTAATGGCGTCAGACCGGTCTTTTATGATATCTTTTATGCTTTATTGTTAAAATTTTTTACTGCTGTCCTTTATCGATATTCCAATTCTTCTATCGATCATTCCCAGCTAATCCAGATCAATGTGGTAATTACCCACCTCATACGTCATCGGTTAATGAGAGGTGTTGATCCCAGGGCTTTGATGTGACGTCATGTGAAATGTGATTGACAGTTACGGCAGGTCCGTCGATTCAAAATACATGGCGAAATGCACTATTACAGAGGGAATGGTTGATGTGTTCTCATCATTATCACCTACGCTCAATTGTTTCTCTGCGTCATTCCTATCGATTGGTGCAATACGTTATTGCATAATCCACAGAATTAGCTATGCATGCAGTAATAGATGCTACGCAATTCTTCCATAACTTTGTAAAAATCGTCATTTTTCTCACTTCATCGATAATGTGAGAGAAATTAAAATTTATGGCTGGTTTTGCAGATGTGCCCGTGACTTTCGGGAGGTCACGGATGACTGTTGTAATCATTGGCGCGGCCATTTTATCCCGTCCGGACTCCGCATGCTTGTAAGTCCATCGTGTTGTCCCGAAATATCGTATAGCCGGCGTGGTATGACGGATGCGCCCTTGTCCGAGCTAAATATAACGGACGACCCCTCCCACTGCAACTTTAGGGGGTAACAGCTGTCCTCGCCTTTCCACAATTAGGTTTGCCTAACCGATTTCTTGGTACAGTTTTTCTACGTCGCCTGCCCTCCCCCTGTCTCCACACGTGGGCTATTCTGTTGTGTACAGGGGAGATATCTTCTTACATATTCGGCGTATGGAGGAACGTCCTCCCTTAGTCCGCATCGGCCGGTCGCCATACTGTATGGCCGCAGGCGTCCCTCAGTTTTCTTAGAGAGATGTCAGAAGGAAAATCTAACCCTCTACCGCCTGACCCGTTCTGCTCTGACGCTCGGCGCGCTCTTTTTCTTCCCGTTTCTCGTCTTCGTCGCCTCGGTTAGCTTTTCCTTTTGACCTCTGGAATTCCCATCCCCACCCAAGGTAAGCAGACTGCGTCACAACCATACTAATGAAGTCTGACAGGACATGATGTTGCCTTTGGGGGAAAGTTGGCTTGTGTGGAGCTTTATTAATCACTTGTGATGCCGGCAAGAATTATTACCTTCTGCCAAGAAGGTTATGTTTACTGCAGCTGAGACAGGCGTATGTATGATGGGGAGGGGGAGGGCACTTTGACCGTCATATATGGCTATGGTTCAATAATCTTGTTGTTTACAATATCAAATATTGCATTACCCAATCACTATATTATCTCCTTTGTGTCAAAGTTTAAGCTTGAAACAATTTGGTATTTTAGAAATAAATATATTTATATATATATTCATATAGTATATAGTATATGTAGTTACGTTGTTTGGTGGCAACCTTCGACTTAGTTACGAAATTGTGCGTCTATTTTAGTCGAGAGTCGCGCGTGTTTTTCTGTGAATGCGGAGACGGACAGACGGGGTGTTCTGATCCCGGGAAGTCTGGATAGAACCCGGCCAGACTCCGCCAGTTGTGCCCCGTCCATCACAGGGGAAAGACCCGGGCCCAGCATGGAACAGTCGGCACTTCTGTGTTGAACAATAACAATTTCCAATAGATCTAGTGCCAGCCCTTTGTTTTTGCACCGATCTATTCGTTTTGACCAGCCCGATCTCAACATATAAATCGAACATTACCAATAGACGAGATGAAGCCGAACCTATGCATTATTAGAGTAGTTTCATAACACATGTTTAGACTAGTATTGTTGCCAATGTATGTGCGTTATAGGGTATGGGTGTACAATAAAGGCTACTAGTATCCGTTTCTATTTAAACTATAAAGAGATATGAGATTGGCCCAATATGACAATGAACATTCGTCCTCCACCGTAAAGAAAGCTACCTCGGCAGCTGATCATACTTCAGTTCAAACTGTGAGGGCGACGATGAAACCGCGTTGCACGGAATGATAACATAAACCATTTTGCATGCCGAAAAAAGTCGTAAAACAAGTAAAAGTCAAAATGTCTTCCTGACCATTGTACTCATATAATGTCTGACGGCAGATATGATTCCCAGTAGACCAATAACTGAGCAATGTTCTTCAGATTCCTCCCCTGATTATACCTCACTATTGTTACAGTCACGTTCTATATATGCCTTTGATCATGAACTGGAATTTTTAAATTCACTCACCAGACTTCTAAAATCCATATAACAATATAACCTCATGTATATTACCTTTTTTTTTTACTACATCCGCCATTACTACTGACATACAGACGTGTCTACTGGGTCTAGTATCGGATATCTAGATGCCCACATGTACAAACCTTCCCCATGGGATTCACATTGGCAAGTCTTTCTCATGGTCCTAGCAATTCCGGGAAGAGTCAGTGACCTACTGATTGTATGTTGGGCGACTGTGCGATAAATTAACGGAGATCAATCATATATCGACTGGCACGAGGAAGGGAGGGGCTTTCTAACGACACAACAGAATCTCCCTTTTACAGATATTACTGTACGCCCTTATATGCAGGATTTTGCATTAAAGTGAAAGTCTCTACCTCACAGACTTTTACTTGTGTCACTGAAGTACTAAGTACCGCTATACGATTGTGCGAAGCAGCATTCAGTACGCGTTTCCTTATAATAGTGGAGCAGTATTTGTGGATAGCAGTTTTTATTGATATTACCCCTTTATCCGGTAGTTGTATATTACAAATTTATGATATGATGCTGGTAAGAGTTATGATCTTTTTATATGATATGATATTCGGCTACCCTCGCCCGACAATTGATAGGCCTGTAGAGAGCAGGCCGTGGTACCCTGCAATATTCCCCGCTCGTGCTGCAGCCACCCAACAGATGTTTATTATTAGTCCATTGGCAGGTTATGGCATTGTACTTCAACTTGGCCTCCAGCCATCCTCAACCCGATGAGCAGAACTCTGACAGGAATACTTAGCTCAGGCACCAATCTTAGGCATATTTGGATCACCCTAGACAAATTACTCTCTAATATACGAAACAACCACAACGGACGAAAACGTATATTAGTATGGTATTGAATGTCAGAGTTATCACTTTGAACTAGAACTTGCAACCTTTCCGGGCTCCTATTCCAGTCTAGAAAAGTAATAAAATGAGCAGTCAGTAGTTATGATGGCATATGACGAGTGATTAATAATTTAAGACATATCAACCGTGCGATAGACTAATTGCCATAGATAGACGATTAGTTGCTAATTACAATTCCAGACATGTACACATGTTAATGAAGTATCTAGATAAGTCCGATACCTCAGTGTTGCCTACACTGCAGTCGGCGAGATGTTTTCCATGTGATGCACGCGCACGTGTCAGTCTCAAGATTGGACTGGTCTAATCTAGTCTAGTCCAGACTGTCTCTCATGCTCTTTGTCCAGGGAGTGATTTATTCTGATAGACTGGACTAAGGGGAAACGCCCACCACTGAAACCACCTAGAACTAGCTGCCGATGACTCAGACCCCAAAACGAGCGGGAAAACTCTGACAGATAGATAGACTTATAATTGGCAGACACGCCTTTTCAAACGAAGGGATGGACCACTGCTAGACAGGGGATGGTCGGTCGGTTCCAGCAGGGTCGAAGAAGTGCACTAACCATGTATCGTAATTGTAGTTAGTGCAAAACATTCCATTGAAAACGAACACTTGACATCGTGCCATATTTTACACAATGTTCTCGACATGAAGAGAGTTATTGCTTCCATACATGCCACCCCTCCCCAGTTGAAAGAGATACCCCCAGCTCTGTCTGCCTCATTGATTGGTCCTACTGTGACCTTGTCTCGAGTTCTGCAGCACATGTTAGAAACCCGCGTGTGGAGCCATAGGAGTACAAACCTGTGCCCTGCCTGGTAAATCTTACATGACGGGAGAACACAGCTTATGTTTCCAACTTTCTCTAATTCCAGACAGACTGTGACCTACAGAACCCCGTAAGGGAACAGCGCAACAGACCCAAGATGGCGGAGGAAGCGCCAGGATTCCGCCAACCGATCAAGAGCATAGCGGTCATCAAGGGGAAGCCAGCCAAGTTTGAAGCCATAGTGACAGGTATAGTGAGGCAGTTGACCTACCTTTTGCCTTATTTGGGTGGCATGCGCACTGCGGCGTTTTGCAGCCATAACGCTGTCTTTATAAATGTCACATCTGATGTTTGTGTCGTCCAAAACTTTTATGGTGTCGTGGAAAGGGGTTGGGTTGCAGTGTGTGAATTAAGTAATAATATTATAGGGTTTTGTTCCTTCTGTAATTGGGATATTTATGACAGACATATTAAAAGTAGGTTTTTGCTCCTTCTGTAATTTGGATAGCCACATGACATGTACACTATTGTTGGCAACGTTGGTACTTGAGTGAACATCATTGGCACAGACTTGTCTTTGTAGCAATAATCAATTTAACACGGGAGGGTGTGGACCGGGGATGACAGTGTGTAGTCTGTAATATAGGTCGAGATCATATTATAGGCTTCATTTTGCCTAAGATGATTTCGAGAGTACGGGAGACGAACCTGAAAAGTTATGTCTGTTTAGATAAGATATTTCATCAGTTATAAACCTGGCAGCCACATGTAGTAGGGTGGTCCGATTTATTTTCGTACTGGCAGCTCAGCTTCATGAGTCACACATGTCTAAGGTTAGGTTGAAGTCACAGCACATATAGCCATGTTTGTCTGTTTTTCTGGGTAGATGGGGGCTGCAGTAGTTTGTCCCTGAATTGTTTGCATGTCAGAGGGTGTCAAACAGAGACACTTGTGGCCACAAGGTTGAGATGCTCTCGGACCATCTGTGGGGACAAATCAGTAACTCTCACATTGGGATTGTGTGTAGAACGTAGAGGGAATCTACGAATCCTCCCCTGTTACCATCCCTACTTTTGCTTCTTCTGAAATTGAAACAAGCGCCGTGTTTTGAGATGCTATCCATGATTTAGCGTGTTCCTCTGAATGAATTATGAATGATCCCTTAAAACTGGCGCTGGGTTGGGTCAGCCTGGGTTAAGTGTTTGCAGTACGGGCTTATTGGGCGGGGCGCTGCCATGGCAACACACGTCCCACGCGTCAGTCAGGGCAAATTCTCTACATCACCGAGACGGGATGGGTCCCTGGCGTCTAACCACGTTTCCTGACGTTTCCGCGTTACCATGGTAACTATTACGTCATATACGAACTTCTGCTGGTCAACAGGAAGACCCTTTACTTCCGACAATAAAACGTCCGGAAATGCCTGCATTTGAGTTTGACTTTTGGGAGGTCTCTGTGAGTATGGGCCTGAAAAGTAAATGCAGTTGCTTGTTTCCTTCAAAACCAAACTGACAGGGAACTGTCAAAGAATGTACCTTACATTTTGACCAGTGCAAAATGTGATCTTTGGCGCGTCAGTGAATATGTCGTCATTGATAAAAGGACGATGTCTTCATAATTTCGTCTACTGCAATTGCATAAACCATGGGGCTGTAGGTTGAATAGGTACATGGTGTCAAATGAAGATTTTGTTGTAACGTCAGCTGCCATGACCCTTGACACGACCTGGATATAAATAGATTATCTGACAGAACCTTGAAACAACACCAATACGGAAATGAGACCCAAGTCCAGCTGCAACACCAAACGTTGCTATTGTTTACTTTTAGATTATTTGTTTAC